TGGACCCTTAGAGTACTGTAGAGATTCCTTTAAGGGATCTATAGGGTTTAGGGTTTAGGGTGTTTAAGGGATTTTGGATTCAGGATGTATGGTTTCAGGGAGATCCGGGTTTAGGGTTTTAAGCACTACGGTTTTAGAGTGTGTGCCCAAAGTAGAATGTAGGGTTGCTGCATTTTGAACCATGATTATGATTTGAGAAAGTATCCCCGATACCAGTGCGTAGGACCGTTTGGTTCAGGTGGTGTTAGGATTTAGGATGTTGGTTAGGATTTAGGGTTTTACGAAGCTTAGGATTTTGGGTTTGTTTTTACGCTTTAAAGGCTTGTTGGTTGTTTGAAATAGACTCCAAACCCTGAAGGATTGTAGCTCAACCATATCCCCTAAAGGGTGTGAGAACTTGTTCTTCAATTCGTTTGGCTTGGATAGTGTTACATACTGTATCGCTGTTTATTCCGAGGGTTTTGAGAACGTTGTTTCTACTTTCAGCCTCTTGGGGTCTCGTGCTTTTTGTTTGCTTCTTGTTGGTTTTCTGAAAGGATCCCACGCCCCAACAACTATGTGTGTTTGGTCACCCCTTCCAAGTTTCAGGGATTCTCCCAAGGCTTGTAATTAGAGGCTGTTTCAAAAGGTGTTGAACAGATGTCCAGCATTTTTGTATTTGTGTTTGGATTGAAGAAAGGAAGAAGAAAGCATCACGACGCCAAGCTGTACTGGCTGAGCCGGTTCCGGTGGAAGTCTCGCGGAAGCGGAAGGGTGTGGTCCAGCTGGATGGAACCGACGAGACTTAGCTTTTCCAAGCTTTGAACATTTTTGGGTTCTTGTCCCCTAAGAGCTGGCGTAGACCTTGGGTACGGCCCCCACTCAGTAATGGTTGAATAACATTCACAATATAGTTACATTAGGACCTCTTTAGTAGCCCTATTATAGACTCTTACTGTATTGGGGGGGGGGGCTAACGTATATCGCTAGACTGGACCTTGACTTTCAGTGGTAATTATCAACATATGAGAGCCTGTTTAGGTGGAACGTGATTCTTGGCACTTCTGTTGTATATCGAAATCCCTAAGGGTCCATGTACCCATATAGACGAGATACATGGGCCCCAAAGTACCTATATAGGGACTGCATTAAGGCCAATGTATATACCATTTAGGTACATGGACCCTAAGGGAATTAGCATAACCAAGAAGGTGAGATTATACAAGCAATAGACAGAACTCTGCACTCACCTTTACAAGGCCTCTCATGTATTACTCCGACAACCCCTACTTAGAGGCCCAGGACCCTAAATGGAGCTACCCCAACTATAACCCCACTTCTAACCTACTTACTAAGTCCCCTGGGCTATAAAGCCCCTGTAACGGCTATGAATAAACCCTGTAAGCCCCCAATCCATAGAGCCCACACCCAATAAATCTTAAACCATGAACCCCAAACTCTAACCCCTAAGCCCTAAGCCTTAAAACACGTAAATCCTACACCCAAGGAGGTCGAGGAAATACTGCCTCAAGCTGCGAGCACTACAGTCATCGAGGATGAGGGCCAGGATGAGGATGTGGCTGCTTGCTTTAGGCTTAGGGTCTAGGGTTTGGGATCTTAGTTTTGTTTTGTTCTTAGGGTCTGAGGGTCACAAGCTGCTTTATTAGTTTTGCTTGGGCTAAGGCATTTGAAGGTTTACAAGGCTTTGGGTTTAGACATTTTGGAAGATGCCATAAGGGAAAGATTAAGATAGGGCCAACCATAAGACGTGAATCTTAGCCGCATAACCCCAAAACCCCGAACCCCCTCAGAGATCCCTTACAGCCCCTAAACCCTAAACCCTAAACCTTAAGGAACCCTTAACGGGGCCCCTTAACCCTGCAGGAGCCCTTTAAAGAAGCCTCAAGGGAGCCCTTATAGGATCCCTTTAGGGGAGCCCCTAAGCCCGAAGAGCAGCCTCTAAACCCCTAAAGCCCTAAACCCTAAACCCCTAAAGCCTTAAACCCTAAACCCCTAAGAGCCCCAAACCCCTAAACCCCGAAAGCCCTAAACCCCTAAAGCCCTAAACCCCTAAGCCCCTAAGCCCCCTGCTTTTTGTGGTTCCTAGGCTTCCTTTAAGGGGGTCTGTATAGGGTTACTATAAACCCTCAACCCCTAAAGCCCTTATAAACCCTAAACCCCTAAGCCCCCCGTAAGGCTGCTTGGGCGACGCGGCTGGACAATGGGAGCCTTGTGGGCTACATCCCGACGCTCACGCTCCTAGGCTAGGACCCAGAGTAGGAGGCCCTTAGTCCCTTTTTTGGGGTTTAGGTTCCCTCATAAACCCGGTTTAACCCCAAAAGGGCACCCTTTTTTTTCCTAGGTTACTCTTAGGTCTAGTGGGCTGCCAGCTTAGGACGCTTTCGGGGTCCTTTGGGGTTCCTTTGAAGGGATCCATCGGGGTTCCTTTACAGGGGGTTCCTTTAAAGGGATATAGAAGTAATTAAGGCTGCCAGCTTAGGACGCTTTCGGGTTCATGGAATTAGGGGTTCCTGTAAGGGGTTCCTAGAAGGCCACCCTTAAGGGTTCCTATAGGGGTTTAGGGTTTAGGGGTTTAGGATTCAGGGTGCGTGGGCTTTGGGTTTAGGTGGTAGGGTTTGGAGGTTTGGGGTTAAGGGTTCAGGGGTGTTACGTTTAGCTTAACTCAGGGCTTGCGGGTTTATCCCCCCGAAGGGTCCATGTACCCAAAAAGAGATACATAGGCGCCCCAAAGTACCTATATAGGGACTACATTAAGGCCAATGTATATACTATATGAGTACATGGATCCTTAAGGAATTAGCATGACCAAAGAAGGTGAGATTATACAAGCAATATACTATATGAGTACATGGATCCTTAGGGTCTGTTTTGGAGTTCAGGGTTTTCGGGTTTAGGGTTTGAGGATCCTCGGCTTCATGTGTTTTGCAACCCGAACTACAACTACGGTTGATGGTTTAGGTACTGCCCCCTTACTGTAAGAGTCAATAGTAGGGCTACCATTAAGGTCCTAATATATCTATATTATGAATATTATTCAAGTATTACTGAGTGGGGGCCGTACCCAGTTGATGGTATAAATCTTGCATTACCTCAAGGACCCTAGACTATGGGAATTATGGTATATTCCTTATGATGGGTAATGCAGGATGCATATATCATCAACCGTAGGTAGGGCTTTGGGACATTCTATATTTTCCCTTCTTGGGCTTAAGAGGATCTTCTTTACTGATATCTTTCACAAGCTCAAAGGGGCCCCCACCTAGACAAGCATCTACAAACCCCAAGCCCATAAATCATAAACTCTGAATCAAAATCAGGTAACTGAATGGCCCACACCCCTTCTAGTAACCCTTGTAAGGACGCCCTTTAAAGGAACCCTTTCTAGATGCTTTAGGGGGTCTGGGGTAACCCGTAAAATTCGCAGCCAAGGTCCCTATTCAAGGGAGTTTCCCAGATCCGCTCCCGCTTCGCTGGTCGGCAGCTACGCCTGGGCGACTTTTTCGATGCCGTGGGTGTCACAGACGCTTTCCCCAAGGGTCCAAGTACCCAATAACCATATAAAATAGTAACCTGCATAACTACTATCCTAAAGCCGAGTACCTAATTATTGGGTCCTTTGGACCCTTGGGGCTTTGCTTTGTGTCTAGAGAGGTTAAACTGCGTTTCTAAGACGGGGCTTCTATCAAGGTCTCTACAGTTGGTTGGACTTTGTCTTGTGTAGGCGTTAAGTACGTGGTCTCAGTAATTGACATTAAGGTTGAAGTTTAGACAAGCAGGTGCCATAGAAGACCTGGTAATATGGGTATAGGTGCATGCCAGGGTTTAGGTTTAGGGTTTAGGGTGCTTGCAACTTGTGGGGTTCGGGTGTAGGGGTGCAGGGACTGTAGGTGTAGGGTTTAGGGTACGTTCAGTCCTCGGCGTCATTTCATTTCGTACCGTTTGGTTTCCATGGGCGTTGCCCTGAAATTCATGGGCTCTGACACTATGTTTTGGTGGAGTGTTTGTCATGTTGATTTCTTGAGGTTTCATAATGTGCCACCAACTGAGGATGACGACCATCGCCTGGCCTTTGCCAGTGCCTTGCGAGCGCTCTCAAGGCACAGCAGATGAGGATTTGAATAGCCGACTAGACTTCAAATCCCAAAGGGTTACTGGGATTTGAATAATCACTCACTATTGTTGCTGGCGCCCGTATATCTCTACACTGCATATAAGGCACATCTCAGAACCCTCATTCTAGTTGTTGAGACCCTCATATTGGAACCCGCAGAGCCACAGCGGCGAGACACAGAGCATGTTTCACACCACCGGATCTCATACTCCGGCGCAGCAAAACAGGAGCGTTTAGGGCTAGGGTCTCTCCCTTGGTCTGCTTACCCAAAGGCTCCACGTACGGCTTAGGGTTTAGGGTTCAGGGGTTTAGGGTTAGGGTTTAGCATATGGGAGTTTGGGATGTTTTGCAGTACTTTCAAAGCTTCGGCTTTCTGCATATTCACGCCCTCACTCTCAAAGTCTTAGAATCCAATGAACTCCTAAATGAAGAGGCCAGAGCCCCAAAACGCACTTAAAGGAACCGAGCCCGCAAACTAACCTCCAAGAGAAAAGCCTTAAACCCTTAAGGCGTAAACTCAATCTCTTCACTCCGCCACCAATCAAAAAGATCCCCTCTCCTAGACCCCAAACCTTAGACTCCTAAACAAAGCCATGCCGAAACCCTAAACCCCCAAAGTGCCGAAACCCCAAACCTCTAAACCCCTAAACCCCTCAACCCTAAACCCCAGCCTCTATAACCCCTAAGCCCCTAAACCACTCTAATCCCTCACCGTAAACCCCCTTGCTAGTATTAGTACCCTAAGGCTCCATGTGCCCATATAGTAGGTACTTAGGCCTTAAAGTGCCTATATAGGGACCTCTTTAAGGCTTAAGGATCTACTATAAAGGTACATGGAGCCTTTGGGGTAGTAGTCGTCGTCGTCGTCGTCCCCCCGGCCCTCACCAAGGAGACGCGGTCGCGGTCACTGGAGCGATTTCCGGACTTGGAAGCGATTCTCAGCCAGGCCCAGGCCAGGTACGAAGTTTAGAGCTACCCAAGGGCAGCTAAATAGTCTAGGTCTTAAAGGCTCCTAAGTACCTATATAATGGAGGTCTTAATGTAATCGGAATTACTATTTGTGGTCTGTTTTAAGGTAGGGTGTTTTATGTATCAGAACTACCTATAGGCTCCATAGTAGTTCCTTTTTGGGGCCCACATTTAAAATCTTATAAGGTAATGCCCCAAACTGAACTACCATGGAGCCTGTGGGAAAAGGGTCCTAAGTAGAAATTAGATCTTAGGTGATCGGAATTACTGCGATGGTATGGTAGAATGTAGGCTTAATGTAATCAAAACTACTGTAATGGTTAGAATTCAAAGGGTCCTAAGTAGACTGCAGGTCTTTTGAATAGGGAGTACTATTATGGTATGGTCGAATGAAGGTGTTGTGTAATAGGAATGACGATCATGGATTGAGCATGGGTCCCCTAGATAGGTACTTCGGACTTATTGCGCTGGGGCTTTTCCCTTGTACTTAAAGGATCATGGGACCTAGTAACTAGGGTTATGATTAGGGTAACTATACTTGTAACCCCAATTAGGGTACTTATAACCTTACTTACGAAGTCCCATGATCCTCCAAGCCCTAAACCTAAACCCTCCTAAACCCTAATTGTAGGGTTCCCTTACAGGGACCTAGAAGGCGATAAGGGTTCAGGGCTTAGGGTACCCAGCCTTGATTAAGGAATGCGCCTTAAGTCATGCTAGGCGTCCTACGATCTTTTAAGGTATATCGGTATATCCCTAGATAATTAAGGGATATTGGAAGGTTGGGACGTTTACAACTAAGGGTGTACTGTTGAGCCTCCAGTGGTACCGGTGCGCCCTGCTAATTTGTTGTAGTCTGCTTCATGATTGGGAGTTTCCGAAAATTAGGGACCTTATCTTGGTGTCCTTGTAATAAGGATCCTACCATTTAGGGTATTATATTCGGGTCCCCTATTTTCGGACATTCCCAAATTAGCAGCGCACGCACACACACATACACACACACACACTAACTAAGTAAGGTTATAAGTACCCTAATTGGGGTTATAAGTATAGTTACTTTAACTATAACCCTACTTACTAAATCCCATGATCCTTTAAGGGTTCCAAGGTTCAGCGCCTTAGGGTCTGGGGTTTTAGAGTTTGGAGCTGGGGAATGTAAAAGAGGCACCCTTTACTTGTACGAGGTTAGTGGGAACTCCAGAAAGTTGGAATATGGTTTCATGGTAGGATACCCTATAATTTACCATGGAAGGGTTAGGATAATCATATTCCAACTTTCTGGCTTTTACCTTAGTGGGAACGTAGCTTCCGCCTCCGCGTGTCGGGGTTTAGAGTTCGAGATTGGGCCCAGGGTTCAGGGTTGAGGGTGCCGGAAAGCCCATTGAAAACCCTTAGCATAGGTATGGGATGTATTGCCCTCTGACTGTAGCATGGTGATGGGGTTCATAAACCCCGTACTTCCATAATATTTGCATAATTTGGTGTGTGTGTGTGTGTGTGTGTTGCTCGCATCGTGTGTGTTTTCTTGTTAGCCCTAAGCCCCCAAGCCAAAGCCCCGAACCCCAAAGCTGATGTTGATGTTTTGTGTTTCGGCAGTGTTCGCACTAATAGTGCATGAGTTTGATGTCCGCTGTGAATGACCTGCTGACCCAATCCTAGACATCCTAAGATCTATTATCTCCTAATTTGTTTGTGGGGTTCGGGCTTCGGGCTTCGGGGTTCCTGATCGGGAATTGTTACCTCTTGTTCTGGTCTGTGGGGTTTAGGATGTGACTGTCTTATCTTGGCAACATGCTTCAGACTGGGCTAGGCTAGCGGCGGCAACTTGCAACAGCATGAAGCAGACTCTCTTGTGTAGCAGTAAATGTAACCAGATGGCCTTACAGTCTCCGACATACTCTGGCATGATATGTATGCTGTTGATAAGACACGCACCTTGTGCACAGATGGTGCCATGCATTTTACAAAAAGCAACAGAGATGCGGCAACTTTTGTGGAGAACCTCGTGATTCGATGTGGATATACGAACACAGAGACATTGCAACTAAGTCCCATACAGGTGCCTTATACATGGGTGGTTGTCAATATCAGGGTCCGAATTTTTGGGTCCTGATTACAATGCGGCACCTAATATTTAGGGTACCCAAAAAGGGGCCATAATTTTGACAACTACTCATGTGTCTACACCATGCTGCCCTCAAGCCGAAGCCACACTCCCTCTGCTTCGCAGGAGAAGGTGGAAGGGATGGCACCTCTGCTTGGAAGATCAGAGGGCTCAGTAAAATGGGAGTTCCGAAAATAGGGGACCCTAATATAGTACCCTGAAATAGTAGGACCCTTATTATAAGGACACCAAAATAAGGTACCCCTGAGGATCAATTAGCATGCCTGGGTTCCTCTGACATTTATACTTTAGAAGGGGCCCCCAGCCTGGAATAGTGGTATAATAGGAGTATTATAGGGCCCTAATATAATCCTTATATAGTCCTTATAGTCACTTTTTCAGGCTGGGGCAGTCTAATTTATACTACACTGTACTCTATCCTCGAACCCGGGTTAAACGCGCCTATATAGTAAAACCTGAACCCTTTTCCTCCAACCCCCACCCCCTCTCCCCTCCCCCGCGGCTCCTGCAAAAGACGAGGACTCCTACATTCGTGTGGCGCTGCATTCCGTCCACGATCTCTCGCCGCCGCGCGCCCAGAGTTTGTACGTGTGTCCTGTGGGATTTACAGAGCTTTGTAGCTGTTGGTAAGGTGTAGGGTGTTTTAAGTTCCGGGTTCTGGTTGAGAGGGTTTACTACTATTTGCTTAAGAACCCCCCCCCAAAAAAAATAATAATCCCTATATTACCCCCATAAGGAATATATTTTTTATTTTTTGGGGGTTCTTAAGCAAATAGTAGTTTAGCACTTCGGAGTTGGAATGCCATGTAAGCCTGATCCCTGATCCCCGTAGCCGCCAGAGAGCTGAAAGGCGCGTTTAGGGTTTAGGGTTTAGGGTACACGGTCTGCATCAATAACCGCCTTACTTGAATCACGGCGTTGCTGTATACTAGGATCACTGTTTAATGCTCCTTCTCACGGGAGGGGCGGCGGGGGTCTATGAATCAGTGAATCAGGGATTCTATTGCGAGAGCCTTGACCTTCTTTTGGATGTCACCCAGGATCCCGAAAGTTGGTGTTTGCATGTGCAAAGACGCCGAACTGCGTCTGGGCACCAGTGAAACCACGCTCATCCCACACCTGTGCGAAAACGGTGAGATGATATACCCGAGGAAGAAGCAGCATTACCTCCTTCATCTGGTTTTGAATTCTCCACACCCACATCATCACGACGACCCTTAGCACTCTTCTTAGAAGAAACCTTTGGGTTCGGCGCTCTCGAAGCGCCAGGTTGAGCATTAACACTTCCACTGAGTACACACAAAGCACCTGGCAGAGCAGTCATTCTGTCTTTCCAACGCCACCACTTCTGACACTTGCTGCATCGAACAATGCCCTCGTCCTCTGCGCCGATAGTTTTGCCGATTTTCTGGTTCCAGACGAGCTCATGGTTGTGCTTGTTGTACCGCAAGTTCATTTCATCTTCAAGCTTCTTGTAGCGGTTAGGATTTCTCATCGCTCCCTCAACTTCCAACCACTGCGACTGAGGTAGGTCAGCAAACTCGCACTGCGAATGAGTGATTTTGAGGCGGATATGCTTGTGAAGGCCAACATAACGTCCGCATTTTCTGCACCACACTCCTTCTGCGTTTAACCGGGGCTGAAGCACGTGACCATTATCTTCCGTAGAGCTAGGGGGCTCTGGAGGACCATCATCAACAGTGACATCCGCCTTAACAGTTTTGGGTGGAGCCTTTCCTTGGTGCCAGTCCTTTATGTACGTTTGCCAAACTTCAACCAACATACGCTGCACTGAAACAACTGTAGACGGTGAAAGTCGCGAACGCTGAGAGGCAAGACCAGAGTACCTCGTACACAAAGGGAGTTTCTTGCCCTTGTTGGGAATGTTCTTCAAATACGGCCTGCGAATGGAGTCATAGTTCGGGCAATCCCAAGAAATATGCATAACAGTTTGCTTCGCACCACATGAGCATGGAGTATCTTTGATCTTTCTGTGACGGGCGTTGCGCTCCTCAGACAAGAGACCACCCGTAAGAAGCCTTCGCAGAACCCCAAGTTTTGCCCGCGCATCATCCACGCTAGCTGCATACCCCTCGGTCTCAACCCAATCTTCAACATCAGCCAAAACAGAAAGTTCTTTGTATAACGCCATGGTCTTTTCCATATCAACATTACCCAAATCGCTGTAGTGCTGTGGCCTATCACCAGTTGCCTTGTTCCACAAAAAGCACCGCCAACTGTTTCGAAGTCTGTGGGCCCACTCCTGCTCATTTAGTGTCACGTTCCCAATCATCTCACGTACCAGAGGTCCAAAGGTAGTATGCTCAACAAGTTCACGCAAACGCTGCGTTGGACCATCTTTGTGCGATGAAGGCAGTTGCAAAATACGCCTTTTGACCGTCTCCGCAAAAGCCTTATTTCGCATACAGCGGGTAACAGTACGCAAACCATGATAGACCGGGCCAAAAAAGGGGTCCAACTGAGGAGGAAGAAGAAGAGAAAATGTCAGAGGCACTGAAAACGAATAAAAATCACACTTGAACATAGTGCGCATAATGTCAGAGCGGATCTTCTTGAGGTAGTCCACATCACAGGTGAACGAGTGCGTACCCTGACCCCAGAGGGCTTGCGTTTGCGTAGCCAAAAGCATTTTGGCTTTGCCCTTCCATGGAATAGGTGCATATCGCAAGCGTCGGATTGTGTTGTGCCATTTATCGAAACGCTTCACTTCAAGCTCTGTCAAAGAAACAGCGCGTCGACGAACAGTAAAGGATCCACCCACCAAGCGGAAAGTTTCACAGTGATCGTATTGGTCATGAAGGATACCGCGTAGACTTGGGTCACCAAAGGTAAACGTTTTTGGCACGGAGATGACCCCCCCATCAGCATCCTCATAGGCCTTGACCAGCATATGGAAACGACGAATACTGTTTTGTAGCTGTTTACGCGTAGAAGCTTTAGCCACTCCCGAAACATCGTCAGCATACGTCCTCGCTGTAACTTCTGGCACAACTGATTCCGCAATCTCAGGCAATACACCAACAATGGCATTAAGCCCAATCATGCTCAACGCGCATCCCTGTAGAATACCATTAGAGGCTCGCCAAAAACCAGTGCACGATCCGCGTAGCCGAAAGACACGCTCAAGTCCATCATACATGCCCCGCATGGCACGCAATAGATTGGCATGAGCACCCCGGTGTTTCATGGCAAGTAGCATAGTATCCACCGGCACCAAATCAAATGCTTTCTTAAAATCGAAGGAAATACCTCCAACCAGTTGGCATTCACCATACATGTCAGCTTCGAGGTCGAGTGCTATGTCCATGGCCATCGCCTCCGCCCCGCGTCGCGGTCTACATCCCCATATTTGTTCATGTGCCCATCCCTCTTGCCACTGAAGCGCAATACCGAACCGATGACGCGACCAAAGACGATAAACTGCCGATAAAACAGATATCGGTCTAAAATCGGTGGGGGAAGGGTCATCGGACATACCAGGTTTAGGCACGAGAGCTGTGTAACCCCGCAATAACGAAGTAGGCCAGATACCAGTCCGTTCAATGTGATTGAGAATACATGCAAGTGGTTCATACACCGCTGGCGCCCAATATGATAATGCACGCAGTTCTTCCGGTCTCCACTGATCAAGACTCCCCGCGCTCGTCTTCAATGATCGTGCCGTAGCAATCAAAGACTCACCAGTGATGTCTGGATAATCCATGTGTGCACTTTTCATATAACCACCGAAACGCTCGAAAAACTCCTTCTGCTTCGCCTTCTTGTTCGCAAACTTGTTGAAGATAGGCCTCCACGCATCAAGGATAGATCTCAACTGTTGTTCTTCATTTGCAGTGTATGTGTCATCATCCATACGCATGAGACATGTGTCGGATTGCCCGCCGCTTTTCAACCACTTGTAAGTGCAAGCTTCCGACGATTGTAGCTTACGCTTCCAGGCATAGATCCTTGCATACTTGTTCTGTGTAGTCAACTTTTGAATACAGTTGCGGAGTAAAGACGCAATACGCATAGAGCCCGATTGCGACAAAGGTTGGCAAAGTTGGTCACGCAGTTCTTGATGCCATTGATCCGGTACGTCACTCAGGACCTTAGCAAGGTTTGCCCAAGTACGTTCGGCCCGATAACCAAAAGCCTTCATACGGGTAAGTTCCTCAGCACGTTGAAGAGCACATGAAAGTCGCCGAATTTGTAGAGTCATGACATTCGCCGTCCTCGCCCTAGGAAAACGTGCCAGTTTCTGGAATCGAACATGTCCACGACCAGAGTCCGGGATGTTACCACTACGAGCACTGTTAACTGGGATCTTTGCAAGCGCCTCCTCAGCAAATTTAGACCACTGCCAAAAAGCTCCATCCACATCTCCTTTCTCCAACAATGGAAGAATGTTGATATCCGCCGTCTCAACATGTTTATCCGATCCCTCAACAAAGGTTTGAAACTCCAATTTTTGCCCAACAGTCCTCGCAATGTAGCGCACCTGAGCACCAACAGGCTGGGTCATACAAACACTGATGGCCGAGTGATCGCTGTGAACCGTAGTCGCTCGAACTTCATAAGAAGACATAAGGGCAGAAGCAGACTTGTTGACAAAGCCCAGATCAATCCTCGAACCTTTTCCTTTGTGACTTGTGTGCGAGTTGTCCAGCCCACCGTAGCCCCAATAGGCAGTGTCCAACCATCCTCCACGTGCGAGGGAGTTCAAGTAGTCACATTCAGGAATCTGCATGTTGAAGTCACCGATGACAAGTGTAGGAACATCCCCTCGTGACACCGCATCCTCGAAGATACCCTTTAACATACTAGTTAAAGCTCTCTTTTTCTCAGCCTCCCAGCGCGCTCCAGCATGACCATATACACAATAAATGATAACTGATCGTTTTCCCGCTCCACGAAAAAGTTCAACCGCAACTAATCGCCCGTCACGGAAAGCCTTCAAGCAAGGACCCTTCTCAAAAACAATGGGCCTAACAGCCCAAGCAGCTTTTGTCCTAACCATAATCGCCACCCCCGTACGCGAAGAAGAAGGCTGAGCATGGCCCCATACAATGTTCCAGTCTTTGTTGTCGGGGATAAGAAGCTTTTGATTGTTCATAGTAGCGTGCGTCTCAGTCAAAGCAAGGACGTCAGCGTCCAAAGAACAGATCGCTGGAAATTTCCCAACGCTGCTAATACCATTAACGTTGTGCGCGAGCACCTTGAAAAGGGTGTTGCCTCGTAGTGCATGAAGAAGTTGATTACGTGCAGCTGCCAAGCATTCGATGTATGAAAACGAAAAGGTAGAGGACAACAATGAAAGAGAAGCTCCCCATTGGGTCCTGTTATGACGACCAACGTGCGAGAAGGAAGATCCCATACACCATTGCTTAACAGAAAGACAAAGACAAAGGTCCCGATGGTCAACGACGCGGGGAAAAACATCCATGTGTGAAACTGAACGGCTCTGTTCAACGGTTCTTGCCCGAAAAGCCCTAGGCGACCAAACCACCATTTGAGGAGTAGCGCGCCCTCGTAGTGCACAAAGTCTTGCAACCACCATGCAGTGAAATAGTGAAACCTCTTCCCACTCACCATCCTGTTCACTGACCCTCCTTGCGCTCCTTGGGCGGAGGAGTCTGACCCGTGTGTGCCCCATCATGCTGCCTGACTTGCCCACCCTTGGGATCTGCCTGAGCATTAAGTCGCTGTAGAAAAGCACGCTGACGAATTTCACGAGGCTCACGCGGTGCTGGAAAAATACCACTCGCTGATGTACTCGCTTCTCTTTCTTGGCGCTGCATCCCCCTCGCCACCGCATTGAGAGCCTTGAATTTGACCTGCTGTCCCTGACCCGCATCCATGAAGTACATTGGCAGATCACACCCACGGTTTGATGAATGAAACACAGCCTCTTTGGAATCCATGTACAACACATTAACATTCAACCACTTGCGACTGCTCAAGAGGAGACTGAGGCCATGAAGACCCCCGGTGAGTGGATAGCCTGTTACTTTCCATCTGGCCAAATGCGATGTATCCTCAAACTTGTACTCCTTGGCGAAATTGGACAATGCATCACTCGTTTTGAACCTCAAAGCCAACCTCCCACTCATCCCTTTCTCCGCCAAGCCGAAGGCCCTTTTATCCTTTGTCAAGTTAAGGGCATCGTGCAACGTCATGGCGTCTGGAAGCCATAGGAGTTCAAGGGGAGCAACATCATCAGATTGACACTTGATGAAAATCCCACTCTTCCCCGAAGCACGCAAAAGATCATCGATGAACTCCTCATGGCAATAGAACGAGTACGAACCGTTCATTCGGCATTGGAGTTGATCCACTGCTAGATCAGGAACAAAAGGCTCGAGATAACTCATCATGATACTCGCCGGTACTTCGGTCTCATCCCAACCCCTTCGCTTGGAAAACCGCGCCGTCATCTTCTTCATCTTCTGCTCAATGACTATCTGTTCCCCCTCCACCACGCGATGAACCGAGTCCCCGAAACCCAATTGGACCAACCACCTTTTCGCGAGTATAGACTCCCTTGATCCATCCGGTCCCGCCACTGACAGCGTGAAAGACACAATGCTTCTCGGATACGCTTTCATTCCAAGTTCATCTGGATGCTGAACAACAACCACCGCCGTAGGCTTGCCAGTAAAACCGACCCGCTCAATGACATCCGGCAACTCATCCTTCGGCACCAATGCCACACCGCCCGACGCCCCCAAATGCTGATGCGGCATGACCGGAACATTCCATTCTGACTCGATCAAAGTAGTCTGCATTCTAATCTTGGCTTGCTCCGGCATTGCATCCTTCATCCTCTTCAAGAATTCCTGATTGCTCTCTGCAGCAGAACTACCGGTGACATCCATCTGCGTCTGCTGTTTAGCCTTGCCTTTGCCCTTTCCCTTCTGATTGCCCTTCGGCCCGTTCCCATGCTCACTATGAGCTCGCTGATTCATCACTTTATTGCTATGGAACCATACACATGGAATGACAGAGAAGCACTGGTACACCAGGAATAACATAACCGCATCAATCGGACTGAGAAATAGCACTTCAGCTGCATTGTTCAAGGCTACCCAAGTAGCCGACGTGCACTGCCTCACCTCACTGGCCTGCATAGTCACCCTCGGTATGCACGTCGCAGTCCAGGTCAAAGGTGCCGAGGTGTCACCCAGGATCCCGAAACCCGAAACCCAAACCCGTGCTAACCCGCTCCCCTAGAGCACACAAGCCACAATGCTTCCAAAACCCCCACCACCCCCCGAAAGCCGACGCTAGACCCTAAACCATGAAACTGCCGAGAATGCGAGGAAGGTATCGTCACCTCGATCGATGACTGGTGCTGGACTTGACTCACAGCTGCTTCGGCCTGTTTGATACGGGGTAATACACTAATTAGAACGGGGCTTGGGGGTATCCTCTAGCATAGTTATAATAAGGAACCCCCAAAACCCTATTCTGATTATTAAGGCCCGCTTATGTGAGGCTGACTGGTATAGGGCTCCTAACGAAGGTTACTGGGTGTGTCTTCGGGAATTGCAGTTGGGTCGCAACAAAGATCCTACGTCACATGTCTTGTGCTTTGCATCGCTTGCACTCTTTGAACCCCTACGTACCTCCACAAGTATGCTCCTGCTTACCCGTAGGTCCATTCTCGCAATCGTACGGCTTCTTTACATGCCCTGTCTGTGTAAATACTCGCAAACATGCATTTACATATCTTCACATTTTATAACCCTGTGCCAAATGCTTGTTTCCGGTCAAATCCCCCTGCAAATGCCGAACAAGCACTAGTCGTACTATTCCTCAAGAACACAGGCTGCGAAATATCTCCGAAGGCACCCTAGGAACCTGTGAACCCGAAACTCCAAGCCCAAACCCTTTAGGCACCAAGCCCTGGCCCTCGAGCCAAACCCCAAGCCTGCGAGCCTTAACCCAAAACCCTAAACCCTAAACGGTTCCTTTTCTCCGAAGATGGAGGTCGCTACAAGAATTTCGAAAATTGCGCGACGGCACGGACACGACCGTGCAGTAACCTGATGGACGGTTTGAGGCTGTTTGAGATTCGAGGGGTTCCTTTGAGGGTTCCATCTTTGAGGGTTCCATCAGTGTTCGATATAGGGAAATCGACGTTGTCGAAAGGATATAAAGGATGTCTAGGAAATATAATTGAATAGCCGTGGTCTTAGTTGATGATGGTTATTCGGGTCTTAATTGGTCTTTAAACGGTTACATAAGGTTGTAGTGTTCTGGGCCGGGTGGGGTTTCTCGATTAAAGTCACGGGTATGTTTTGGGGACCTATATGGGTGGTTGTCAAAATTAAGGTCCCTTTTTGGGCACCCTAAACATTAGGTGCCGTATTATACTAGGGACCCGAAAAGGGACCCTAATTTTGACAACCACCCATATGGTTCATCCAACTCCCAACATGTAGCCAGCAGTCAACAGAACAACGTGATACGAGGGTTCTACAACCGTGGTTTTGGTTTTCTGGTTCCGGGCATAAACCCGGACAGCACCTGGACCTAAAGCCACTTCACGAGCCCCTGAACTGCATGGAACCTAGAACGCACTGTACCTACATAAACCCGCCACCAGAAATGGAATAATAAATCTCAAGCCCCAAAACTTTGTGACTTTAACAGATAGAACATATTATAACTTCATCATAAGCGTCTCGCTAAAACCATGTGAAAAGTCTTGCGCCCCTCTACTTGCCCAGACCTTCCAAAATCCCTTAATTAAGGAATATACCTTAAAGCATAATAGGGTCCCTAATATGAATTAAGGTATATTCCTTTATTAAGGGATTTTGGAAGGTCTACTTGAGACTCTCTGAGGCAGCTGGGGGAGCAAATGGCGGATCTCGCGGATCTACACCAAGTCCTTCCATGGCAAAGAGTTAACGGTTTAGGGTTTAGGGTTTAGAGTTTAGGGTTTAGGGTTTAGGGTTTAGGGGTTTAGGGTTTAGGGTTTACAGTAAACCCCATAAAGTTGGAAACCGGATTACTGCCAAGTAGTGCTGGGATTCCCTATAAGTTGCTCTTAAGGATCGAGGCTATTGGGTTTCGAACGTTTGGGCTTCTACTGTAGGGTTTTTGAGGGTTGAGGGCTTGACTGCAGCGCTAAACTGCGAACCTTCCGGCAGCCCCCTTCTACCCAAAGGCTCCATCGTAGTTCCTTTTGAGGATTAGCTTATAGGGTCCTAGATATGAACCCCCGAAAAGGAACTACTATGGGGCTTTTCTACTGTAGGACTCCTAGGACCCTTGTAGGGATCTTTCCAGGTCCTGCTAGAGCCCTTAGATAGAGCATGGACGCCCTACTTTCGAAGCCGAGGAGTTGCTTGGCTTCCAGAAGAATGTGAATCGGAACTTCCGGTCGACTATCAAGGCCTCGGCTTCCGGGGTTTAGGGGGTTCAGGGGGTTAGGGTTTAGGGATTTAGGATTTTGAGGTTCAGGGGTTTAGGGTTCCGGGGTTTAGGGTTTAGGGGTTTAGGGGTTCGGGGGTTTAGGCTTTAGGGGTTTTAGAGTTTAGGGGTTCAGGGTTTAGGGTTTTAGGGGTTTAGGCGGGGGTAAGGGGTTTTAGAGTTTAGGGGTTTAGGGTTCCGGGGTTTAGGGTATCAAGGCCTCGGCTTCCCGCAGGGGCTTCCCGGAGTTTGCAGGGCTTCGTGTTTGGGGTTTAGGGTTTTGTGGTTTTGGGGATTGTAGACTCTGCTCGTGCTTTTATGAGGGTTTTGTTGCGCAGTTCTTGCGGACGTAGAAGGCTGTTGTGTTTTTTTTGAGCAGGGTGCTTCTTATTCTCGATGATCCGAGAAGGGTGCTGGAGGCTTTCGGGTTATACATAACCCTAAGGGTCCATGTACCCAAATAGTATATACATTGGCCCCAATGTACCTATATATGTGCCAGCATCTGCGCACCCCCCCCCCCCCCTCCCCCATCGTATACCCCTCTGCTTCTCCCCCCCCCCCCTGTGGTACCTGTGGTTCCTCTGCTTGTCTCCTTTCTCCCCCCCCCCTGTGGTACCTCTGGTTCCTCTGCTTGTCTCCTTTTCTGCCTGCTTCTCGCCCCCCCCCTGTGGTACCTGTGCTTCCTCTGCTTCTCTCCTTTTGTCCGTCGTGTCTGCTTCCTCTGCTTCTTGCCCAAGCAAAACATCGGATACCATATGTCATAGGGTGGCAAGGAAGGGGGAAAAATATAATATCTCATGGGGCGTGCCGGGGGGGGGGGGATACCATTGGGGGGGGGGGGGGGGGGGGGTCGAAAACGCGGAACGCGGACACATATAGGGACTACTGTAAGGCCAATGTATATACTATTTAGGTACATGGACCCTTAGGGTAAGGGTTTCGATTTGTTCAAGCCTTTCAGGCTTTCTGGATTTTACTGGTTACGGCGAGGTGTTCGGCGTTGTGGGTGCAGGTTGGAGGCTTCAGGGTGGTTTGATGGTTTGGGTTTAGGGTTTAGGGTTTGGGGTTTGGGGTTGGGGATGAGAGGCGAAGGTTTCGTCAGTCTCGTCAATCCTATTTTCTTGATTATGGTCTGGGTCACTAACGGTATCACCCTCACTTGAGCAGCTTTCAACGGTTGGCATCACTACAGGTACTTTGTGCGTGGTATCATGGCTGTTTCGGGAGGTTTTTCAGTCCCCTAACAAAAGCAGCCTAAAGGTGCATTCTTAAGCTCGTGAGGTCAGGTTTTAAACTTGGGGGTAATCTACTTTCGGATAGATGTAGACGAAGAACAGGGCTTGAAGCAACAAAATTCAACCCTGACCCGTTGCAGAACCCTAACAGCGCACCCCCAGTGAAGCTTGAAAGGACCCTTTAGACAACCTGTACAGCCCTCCAGCTGGAATACCGTTGGCAGGAGATCAGCCGTATCCAGCAGGCTCGGACAATTTAGGGCTTATTGGCGACTTTCCTGGGGCTTAGAGAAGTGCTCGACTGTGCCCATTGCATCCTTCATCCCAAAACTCCAATACCCTAGCTCGACCAAAGCCCAAAGCGAAAGCTGCAAACCCAACACCCAAACACGTGGCGGGTTTAGCTGTCTGGTTCTTATTAGCAGGGAAAGGGCGAATGGATCCCTATAGTAGTCCCTATATGATCCACAATAATAGTCTCCATAATTAATCCATTCCCCATTTCCCTTCTAAGAGCCAGACAGTTAAATTTGTGGTCCGGGGGGTTTAGGGTTTGGGGGTGTAGGGTTTAGGGGTTTAGGGGGTTAGGGTTCAAAGTTCAGAGTTCTGGTCAAGAATCGATTGCAGCCAGAGGGAAGAGAGAGGTCAGCGAAGCTCCCATCCTCGGCTTTCGAGGGACATTTCGGACCGAATCACGCTTTAAGGCAGGGGTCCTGTAGCCTGTTACTAGCATTCCCTATATAGGAGTCTGAGCCTTATATTATAAACCCTGTGAGGTTACATGTCGTCCGTAATCGATTTTTTATAGGGTTCGGAGGGCTCTAGAAGTGGTATATGCAAGGTTCAGGCTTGTCAGGGAATGTCTTTGTCAGAATTTGTGATTCCTCGTGGTGCAGCTCGAGCTCGCACTCCAAGATCCCTCTATTACGCAAACTTAGAATCACACTCACAATCATACCCAGGCTTATCATGGTTTATGCACATGTAAATATGTTATATGCTGACTGGGTGTGTGTGTGTGTGTGTGTGAAGGATCCCGCGATAATGTTGGGGGGTTTTGGAGTCGTTGGCTGGTCGTGTCTTTGCTAGCTGACGACTACGGTCAGATCTTGCAACAACTATTGCGGCTTCGGTGATTATCCCAAATGCCAGAATCGTAGTTGCCTGATGTTGCCGGTATTGAGAATGTTAATGCTACTGTTACTATAAAGCCCTGTATAGTACCACTATGGGCTATTAGACCTTATGGGTACCTTAATCTACCCTTAATAGGGTCCTAATAGGGATCTTTAGGGTCTAATAGCCCATAGTGGTATGGTCTTTGGGCCTCAAAGCCTTAATATATGGGTCCTTAGATCCCTAGGGCCAAAGGGTATGATGATACCACGAAATGGCAGGCTTTGCATTTAGACTATGTCGTGGCCTCCGAGTCCGAAAGCGATCACGAAGGCGCCCTTCCGAAACAGAGCTGGAGGGCCCCAGTTACCCCAAAGGCTCCATGTACCTTTATAGTAGATCCTTAAGCCTTAAAGAGGTCCCTATATAGGCACTTTAAGGCCTAAGTACCTACTATATGGGTACATGGAGCCTTAGGGTACCCTACATCTTAGCTATAGTCTCCATTGTAGTTCCTTTTCTTGGTTTAACCAGTTTTACATTAAGGATCCTAAAAGGTAGCCGCAAAAAGGAACTATATACAATGGGGACTATATTCTAAACCCTAACTCCTTTAAAAGGAACCCTAAACCCCTGTAAAGGAACCCTAAACCCCTTTAAAGGAACCCTGAACACCTTTAAAGGAACTATATACAATGGGGACTATGGGTAATATATGGTTTGGGGATCCTCGCGCTCGTCTGAGCCGCTACCATAAAATGTCTAGGACCCAGAGTAGGCCCTTATTCCCTTTTTTGGGGTTTAGGTTCCCTTATAAATCCGCTTTAACCCAAAAAGGGCACCCTTTTTATTCCTAGGTTACTCTTAGGTCTAGATGTCTGATTTGTAGAGTGACCCTGTAAAAGCTGTAATTAGCGGGGTTCATGCTGAAACACAATTCCCACACCGCATGCCTCTTCGAACTTGCAGCAAAAACAGACTCCCACACACAGACACAGACACAGACACAGACAAACACACACACACACACACACAAACAAACACACACACACACACGTGTAAGGAGCCCGTATTGAAGGCTTCCCAAATCGTACATCCCAATGCCGAACTGGGTTTTCTCATTTTCAATGCAGATCAAGAAGCTCTTGCACCAAACTCCTGATCCAACCCCACGCAGCTCTGAGGGGTGATCCCTCCGTTTGTCCTGACAAAGAGTGGTGTAAAGGAGCTATCGTACTCCAAAGACCTTAGTTCACTCTAGAGACTAAGCTCAAAGGTACAACAGCTGTCAGCAAGGGATGCCTACGTTCCTTACTCAGTCTGTTATCAAACTAGCCCTTGCAGTCATGGTCACACGACTCACCCCCAAGGGTCCAAGTATCTAATAATCATGTGCTTTCCAAAATACTAACCTACAAATATACTACCCTAAACCCAAGCATTGTTATTGGGTCCTTTGGACCCTTGGGGTTACAACTCTGACCTCCAAGCCAAGGCCTGAACCACCCTCAGCCCTAAACCCCGAAGGACCTCATAGTTGGGTTCTTTGCACCCTTGGGGTCATACGGTTGATGATATACATCCTGCATTACCTTAAGGACCCTAAACTATGGGAATTATGGTATATTCCTTATTATGGGTGATGCAGGATTTCTATCATCAACAGTAGTTGAGCCCTATCCCCTACCACTCAACCCCGAACCGCCAGATCCAGACCGTTAGATACGAAGCCGACCGACTCGAAACTTCACATAATCCAGGGGTAAAAGGAGGGACCCTTAATGAGGACCCCTAGGTATATACCCTTAATATAGGTATTATGTACCCATTATATAGCCCAGTATAGGTCCCTTAGTTAGAGGTTTGGGTGTTCAGTGTTCCTCGGTCCCACGACTTACAGAACCCGCAAGAGACCTCGTATAGACCCGTTGGGTTAAAGAGCCCTTCTAGATCACCTTCGGAACCATTTTCGAATGCTTGTACAGTATATCCGTTCAAGCCATCAAAACCAACGAAGCCCCTAAGCCTCCTCATAGACCCCAACACCGAACAACTCTCTAGAAAGCCCTTACCCTAGGGATCAACATAGCCCAAAAGCCTTGTATAGTATGGTCTTTGGGCCCAAAAGCCTTGATATATGAGTCCTTAGATCCCTAGGGTTACTAGATAAATTAAACCTGCGGGGCTCGCAGGTGAGATCGGCCCGGTTCGAGTGGGCCGACGTGAGTCACAAGGTGCCTTCGTTCCCACCACGACATGGGAGTTTCCGAAAATTAGGAGCACCTCATTTTGGGGTCTTTACAATAAGGATCCCACTATTTAGAGTATTATTAAGGGTCCCCTATTTTCGGAAACTCCTGCATCGGAATAAGACGAGCTATGGTCCGCTAAATTAGGTTTGAGGTTTCCGGAAGGTTCCGCTAAATTATGTCCGTGTATAAATTTGGTTCCTGTGAGGTATCCACAAAGAGTTTCTAGTCGCGCATACGGGTTAAGCTTTAAACTAGAGGGTCTTGCGGCGTGTTGACCAATCATCTGCTGCCGTAGCGGTTGCTCCAAGATCCAGCCATCCATTAAGCAAGCTCGGAGCCCATATGGCCAAGTAACCCATAATCACACTCTCACCATCTTCTTTCGCCTACATTGCTAGGATTCTTAACCCAATCCCAAATACTCTCCACTGTTTATTGGGTGCTTTTTGACCCTCAAAAACAGACCCTGGACAAGTCTTGGCCATGTCCTGCAAAGTTTGAGAAACCTTGAAACAGCCGTCCCTTAGTAGGTTCCGATCCCGAACCCTACATCCAAAAACCCGAAAGCGCTAAACCCCTGAATCCCTAAGCCACTGAACCCCCGAATCCCTTAAAGCCTACGAACCCCTAAACCCTTGAATCCCGAAACAGCGAAACCCCTATATAAGCCTCTAAAACCCTAAACCCTTGAATCCCTAAAATGCTAGAGCCCCAAACCCCCCTTTTTCGGTGTCTGTCCTGCCCAGTAGGCTTGGATCCACGCGCGTCCGCTAACATCGAACTGTTTAGGGGCTTAGTTTGGGAGCTTAGAGTTTAGAGCAACTGCTTAGGGTTTAGTTTAGGGTTTAGGGCTTAAGATTTTCGGTTTTTTATAAATATAAACAAACATGAAAAGTTCCAACAGTTGAATGCATTCCTTAGGGAGGAGTCGAGTACAGAGACGTGGATGACTTTTGCCCCTTGAAGAGCGGGCCCATTCAGACGTAGAGCTTTGCAAGCTTGTGATAGTCTAGGGCCCTAAACCCTAAGCCCAAAACCGGATATGGGGGTGCAAAGGTTCTGCGTGACTGGTCTTCGACTCGCAAAGTAATGCGAACTGAACAATACACCTCCTCCCATTGAAAACTTATTGCCAGTACCCGTAAACCCTCCAGTGAGGCACCGGTGCGCCTGCTCCAGTGCCTGCGAAGACCGCGCCTTGTGCCGCTCGTCTGCAGCATGTCCTCAGGACCCAATAACAAGGTACTTGGGTTCAGGGTAGTAGTTATGTAGGTCAGTATCTAGGGGAATATATGATTATTAGGTGATTGGACCTTTGGTTATATATGGGGTTGAATCATCTTCGTCCCGGTGGTCTTCGTGGCGATGATGGTCGTAGCAGCTGCGCAACGATTTGATCTGGACACCTAGGACACTCCGAGCAGATGTTGAAATAGGTTTCAATGTTCGAAGAATGTAGTCGTCTTCAGAATGGTCCTCTCCGATGGTAGAGTTTCTTAGCATCTCCTGAAGGGAAGCATACTGTGCAAAGGTTCTCCAAGATCAGCCCCAGCAATAGGAAGAAATAGCTGGCATGTTGCCGCAAACCAATTCCGAAACAACAAACGCCTATATGTTCAGCACATATCGATAGTCCAAACCCGACTCTACAGCAGCAAACCTCCCTTCCCCAACCCTTCAATCCCAAGCCTAAACAGTAAAATCCCTAAGCCCAAAGCCCGAGTTGTAGGACCCCTGACAGCCCAAAGGGTCCTAGGACGTAGAGGAGCTGGGTCAGCAGGAGCACAGCTACTATAGGCGCCGAAATCATAAGAAGAGGGTTCCTTTAAAGGGTCCTTAAAAAGGGTCGTAGTTGGGTTACTATAAGGGGTATTATGGTTGTTTATAATAGGGCACTAAATAATTGCCTATACTATTTTGGGGGTTCCTAATTATAGCGAGAGTATAATGAGCCCTAAACCCCTACTAATTGCTAAGGCCCCTGCATTACACCGCATGGCAACAATCGGATCAAAAAGTCGTCAATGCCCAAGCAGAGGGAATCCGAACAAAAGGCCAGGTGGAGGCCTTGCACATGCATTGCGTGAAATTAGAAGCCGCTGCCAAGGCCGAGGCAGAACAGCGCAAGTTCTCGGGCCAGGACAAGGCGGCGGAACAAAGTAGGCTGTTGGAGGGCGACAGCGAGTCCTCCAGCTTCATGGGCTCCGCCGAGAAGGAGGAGGTTCACGCACCGGTGTGTCGGTGTGTCAGGCGGCCAGCGGATCAGGGGTTTAGGGGTTTAGGGTTTAGGGGTCTACCTATAGTCTCCATTGTAGCTCCTTTATGGGGTCACCTTTTAGGATCCTTTAAATTCAAAAAAAAAGAACTATAATGGAGACTATAGGTAGGGTTTAGGGGTTCCTGTTCCGTGCCACATCAACACCGCCGCAAAGCTGGACATTGCAGTCTCGAGGATCGGAGTGGGACGCAACCTACCGGCCCTGAACACGTGGTCTCTGCTGCTGACGGGGTGTCCCAAGTTGCTCATACTTTGAGGGATGGTGTTTTTGTGGAAGTGAACACTTTGAGTACGTCGGGGGTATCAGGTGGTCGCCTGAGGGACCAGTAAAGTAAGCTTTGCTAGTAGCCACAACCCTAAGGGTCCATGTACCCATATAGAGATACATGGGCCCCAAAGTACCTATATAGGGATTACATTAAGGCCAATGTATCTGCTGTATGAGCACGTGGACCCTTTGGGCAAGGGGTGAACGCTCTGATGTTTTGTTTTCTACGTGCAACCCAGAGACTCCAATATCCCTTCATTCAGGAATATACCTTAAATCATATAAGGGATCCTACCATAATTGAAGGAATATTCCGTAATTAAGGGATATTGGAGTCTCTGGGAAGCTCACCATGGGCAGGGAGTCTGCAGATCGAAGATCCCCCTCTGCACCCTTAAACAAAAGCCCTAAACTCCCCAAAACCCTAAACCCTAAGCTCTAAACCCCAAAACCCCAAAACCGTAAGCCCTAATCTCTAAACCCCAAAACCCCAAAACCCCAAGCTCTAATCTCTAAACCCTAAACCCCAAAACCCCAGGCCCCAGAGTACCTCAAAGCGCTCGCAGAACTTAAGAGGGTCAGGGGACTTAGTAAGGGCTCTTATAGGGCTCTTTAAAGGGATCTATAGGGCTCCTTACAGGGATCTATGGGGTTTAGGGTTTAGGGTTTGGGGACTTAGCAAGTAGGTTGTAAGTAGGTGATTAATACCCTGAATGGAGTTACCCCAATTATAACCCTACTTATAACCTACTTACTAAGCCCCCTGGGCCTCTAAGAAGCCATTAACCGCCCGGCGAGGTGTCCGTGGCCTTGGCTGTCACAGCCTCCGAGGTGATCGTTGAGGGGTTTAGGGTTTAGGGGTGTTGGGTTTAGGGTTCAGATTTAGGGTTTAGGGTGACAGATCAGTGCAGGTAGTTTCCTCACGATCTTGGTATAGTAATTTCCTCTTCAACTTCTCTTCGTCGAACAGCGCGAACTGCTACTTTGGTTTTGGTGCTGAGGGAGGGCGCGTCGACTCGCAAGAGGCTGAATGGTCCGTTCCTAAAGGAGCTTACACGAGGAGCTTCCGAAAATAAGCGACCAAAAAGTAAAGAACTGTAGACAATCGGATCATACCTATAGCGCCCCTAGAGTAGGTACGTTTGTGAACCTCATCCGCAACAGGACATGCATGCCCAGAGGCTTTGCGACTCGAAGCCACTGGAGTTTGTAGACAATGTACCAACATGTTTTCTTCAGGGTCACTACTTGTGGAGCTGCTTTCATTGTTCTTCCTAGGCTTTTTGGCTGCTGCTTCTTGTGAGATGTCTATTTAGGGGGATGGATGTCTCGTAGAATCTAGAAGGCTTCTTGCTTGCATTCAAAGCCGCTTGAATCGAAGCACATGTGTCTTTGAATCTAAGTTATGGTCAGGGCGAGAAGTATATAATTACATGAAACCTTCATAATAGGCCGATCTGCGCGTGGCCCAGCGCCTCCATTCGGCCAACGCCTCCGCTCAAAAATCCGCCTTTACCCGAAACCTTCGTTGCCTGAGTACGTTCCCGCAGCCGCTGAGTCAAAGCTCCTCGGGCAGGCGTCGTCCAGCCTGCCGCCGAGTCCAGCAGCGAGTAGCGTTTCGCTCCTTGTCGAATGGCTGAGGGGCTCTCAGACTCAACCCTAAACCCTAAACCCTAAACCCTAAACGCCTATGCCCTAAGCTAACTCCAAAGTCTAAACCCTAAGCCTAAAGCCAGGAAACCCAAAGTTCTCACGCCTCAAACTCCAATCTGTAAAACCCCAACAGCCTAGTATGTCCATTCTTGGAGCCGATTCCCTCAATTAAACACGTAAGTACTAAGCGCTGGAACCCTAGATTTGAGCCCTCCGAACTCAATTCTGAGATGCAAGCTGCGAACGCCAAACCGCCCCTGAGCCACCTCAATCACATAAGGTCTAGGGTTTTTAAGATTGAGGGTCGTAGGGCCCAGGATTTAGGACAAGCTCCGGGAACTCGAAACCCTCCACACTCTTAGCCCGGCGTCGCCCTGAACTCAATATGACATTCTGCGTACGGACTCAGAGTAAGGCAGTTACTCTGAGTAAGGTCAAAGTGGACAGACCAACCAGAACACTAGAATATTCCCCAAAAAAGCTTGCTGACTGCGACCCTTCGAGTAGTACCGCAACTCTCTTAACCCTCATCCCCCAAAAGTTCGAACTTGCCTTCCCTTGACGAAAACCGAAAGTTCCTGAAAACCATGGTTCCTCAACTTCCAAAAGCAGAGCCCTAAGACTCTACACCCGAAACCAGGAAATCCCAAAGGCCCTGAACAAAAGTCTCTAAACCCTACAGCTGGAAACCTCTGTAGGAATTCTGATAGTGGGCAACTCTTCTAGAAATTCTGAAAGTGGCCCTTCGTTATAAGAATCGTTCAAGGACGCCTTAAGATTCGAGACCGCGCGAGCCTACACCTTAATATGGGGCTACTACTATCGTAAGCTGCCTTTTGCAGCATCATTCTTACAAGCCATAATAACATGTGTAGGTGCCCCCTGCAAAAAAAAGTAGGCTTCTGTAGACTTGGCTCAACCCTAAACGCCAAACCACTAGATCCTAAACCCCCTAAGCCTTACCTATAGTCTCCATTGTAGTTCCTCTTTGGGTTACCTTTTAGGATCCTTAATATAAAATTGGCTAAACCAAAAACAGAAACTACAATGGAGACTACAGGTAAAGTAACCCCAAGGGTCCAAGTATATAATAATCATATACTCTCCAAAATAGTAAGCTACATAACTACTATCCTAAAACCGAGTACCTAATTATTGGGTCCTTTGGACCCTTGGGGTAAGGCACATGTCGCCTCTGAGGTCTCCTGCAAGGGCGCTGCTGGGTCCCGGTCCTGCTCGAAGCTCCGAGATATTCAGTGGTTCTTGTTTTCTAGAGGGTTTATGGGTGGTTATCAAAATTATGGTCCCTTGTTGGGTCCTTACAATAATATGGCTTATTTAGGGTACCCAAAAAGGGGCTTTAATTTTGACAGCTACCCTTATGGTTTAGGGCTTCTTTAGGGTTTAGGGCTTATAAGGCTTAGGGACCCAAAGGGGCCCTGGGCAAAAAACCGAGGACTGGGGATTGAGGGCTTCTAGGTTTTAGGGCTGGGAGGGTTTAGGCATTGGGGATGATACGGCTGATGGTATAAATCCTGCATTACCTTAAGGACCCTAGACTATGGGAATTATGGTATATTCCTTATTATGGGTAATGCAGGATTTATATGTCGATGTTCAGTGGCTCTTGGTTTCTAGGTATTTATAGGGATCCCTTTATGGATTACAAAAAGGGATCTGTAGTAGAGAGGGTTTAGGGTAGGGTCTAGTTTAGGGTTTAGGGTCTAGTTTAGGGTTTAGGGTTTATAGTAGTAAGGGTTCTTAAAGGGCTCCTTAAAGGGATCTATAGGGCTCCTTAAAGGGATCTCTGGGGTGTTTTTGTTTTCTAGGTACGGTTGACGAGGACTGGGGATTTAGGGCTGAGAGGGTTTAGGGTTTAGGGTTCAGTCGATGTTCACTGGTTCTTGTTTTCTATTTTCTTAGAGGCCCAGGGGACCTAGTAACCTAGTAATTAAGCAGGTTATAAGTAGGGTTAAAAGTACCCTAAATGGAGTTACCCTGTTGATGGTATAAATCCTGCAGTACCTTGAGGACCCTAAACTATGGGAATTACGGTATGTTCTTTATTATGGGTAATGCAGGATTTATATCATCAACCGTAGGGCTTTGGGACATTTTATATTTTCCCTTATTGGGCTTAAGGGGATCTTATGTACTACCATTTTTTCAAATGCTGTAAAGGCACCACCTAGTTTTTTTCTCAAAGGCTCCATGCCCGGGCCCCCCAACATGTTGAGAACAAAGGGCATTTTACAGGTGTTGGGCAGCTATTCTGTCTACTGTTCGGTGGTTTAGGTATGGTTTCACGGGTCTTTTGGTTGTTCTTCAGAAGTATGTTGAGTGAGGTTGCAATGGCGCTTGTTGTGTTTTTGTTGCTGTGGTTGTATTGGCGTTCACAGGATTTTCGAGGGTTCTGTAGGGTGTCTTAAGGGCTCGTTAACGGGTTTGTATATGGGTAGTTGTCAGAATTATGGCCCCTTTTTGGCTACCCTAAATATCAGGTGCCGTATTATATTAGGAATCCAAACAAGGGACCATAATTTTGACAACCACCCATATGGTTCCACAAAGTTTCTAAGAAGTTCGCAGGTCCTCGAAGGGTTTGGGGCTTCATTATCTAGGGACCCCAAAAAGCACATAAGCATAAGCATTTTGGCCGGGATATCCCTGCCTTATTGGGCTTCCTTAAATAAGGGTTTATATGGGATATCCCTATCCTCAGTACATAGGACCCTTTGGGTTATGGAATCCTGACGAAACACTTCTACCGTAGAAGCCAAAAAGTTGAAAACCCAATAGCCTCAACCCCTTAGAGTAATGTATATAGGGAATCCCAACACCATTTGGCAACTTTATGGAGTTTATTGTAACAAGAAAATGATAAACAAATACAGAACCACTCTACAGGCCAATGCTTCTGCTTTACAAGAGATCCGAAACCCCTCTGAAGCTATACTTAACGATCCCAGTCGTTGAGTTTGCGCGAGATCCAGAAACCCCTCCAAAGCCCGATTAAACTCCGAAGGCAATCCCTGCAAGGAACTCTAGGGAATCCTCTTAAAGGACCCCTTTAACCATAAAGAAACCCTAAACGGCTAAACCCTAAACCCCTAAACCCCCAAACCCTTGAACCTTAAATCAACCCTAAACCCCTACACCCAAAACCCTAAACCCCTAAACTCTGCACCCCGCCCCACCCAAGTAAACCCTAAACCCCAAAACCCGTAAGCTCTGCTTAACCCCAAATAAACCCTAAACCCCAAAAGCCGAAACCTTTCTGAACCCTAAACTCTGCGAAACCACCGAGTTTCCAAGAGAGCCAAGGAACTGCGCCGACGGTGCGGCGGATTTCCACTGCACCAGCTGACCCAGAGGCCCTGGTCGGGGAAAGGGCTGAGAGGGTTTATGGTTTAGGGCTTTTACATAGGCCCAGGGGACTTAGTAAGTAGGTTATAAGTAGGGTTATAAGTACGCTAAGTGGATTTACCCCAATTATAGCCCTACTTATAACCTGCTTACTAAGTCCCCTGGGCCTCTAAGTAGGGTTTGGGGCTCAGAGGGTTTAGGGTTTAGGGCTTATAAGGTTTAGGGACCCCGAAGCCCTGGGAAAAAAACCGAGTGCTGGGGATTTAGGGCTTCTAGGCTTTAGGGCTCAGAGGGTTTAGGGCTTGGGGATGATAGGTTTAGGGTTCCGTGGTGTATGGGGTTTGGGGCTTACCCTAAGGGTCCATGTACTCATATAGCATATACTTGGGCCCCAATGCACCTGGATAGGGACTACATTAAGGCCAATGTATATACTATATGAGTACATGGACCCTTAGGGTTATGGGGTTTATGGGATGCGGTGTTTGGGGTTTAGGTCTTCTACGCTTCAGTCAAGGGTTTTGTTTAGGGTTATATGGGGTTTACGTTTTTTTTTAACGGTTTAGACGTTTCAGGGATTTAGGGTTTATAGGGTGTAAATTATTCAGGGATTTAGGGCGTTGCATGGCGTGAGTACGGTTCGAAAAGTGCCGCCGTTTTAACTCGGAGTGGAAGACCTACGCAGACGTCGACCAGGTGAAGCTGGCGACGGCAGCACTTCGCCTTCTGCCACACTCTGGACAACGAGTATATACCCATAGGCTCCATAATAGAGCAGAAGTCGACGGCGCTGTGGTTCAATTCAATCAAGCCGCTTGTGAACCTGGCATGCCTCGCCCATGCGACCTCCTATGTCAGTGTCAGCATCTGAGGATCTCTCTGGACGGCAGACTTCTTGCCAGGATCCGAAACAGCCCGGCCGGGGGCCCAACGGCCAACACAACTAACGTTCCCTGGACGCTTAGGCACAACTGGATCCTGGGAGATTTTCAGTGCCGAGCAGGCGAGAGCGCTCGCACAGATCTCACCGTGCCTGGTGCAAGAGCGTGCGCTTTTAAAAGCCTTATATCTATGGTCTTTAGGCCCAAAAGCCTTAAGATATGAGTCCTCAGAGCCGTAGGGTTAGGGGGTCGATGGGGACCAGCTCGGAGAACAACGTCTGGCCTGGGAGAAGGAGAATCCAGTCTGATCTCCATGCTTATGCTGTGGGTTGAGGGTTTTGTTTGGGTTTAAAGGGGGTTCAGGGGTGGGGTTTAGGGTCTTGGGCTAGGGTTTAGGGTTCTTGGAGAGGTCCTGATAGGGGCTCTTAACTGATTCTTGGCAAACGGGACTTAGAGTTTCGTGTTCAAGCGGATTTGGTCTGGGACTTCGGATTGATAATGTAAGCTTGTATTGGAGGGAGCGGGCTAGGGTTTAGGGTGTGGGTTTGGGTGGGTAGGGTGTATGGGTCCGGTTTCCAGGGCAAGTCAGGCCTTCAGGCTGCCGAGCTTCGAGAAGGGGTCAGGTATCGCTTGAATCCATCGCACCTTTTTCGGCCGTTTACTGTTTAGTGTGGTCTTCCTTGACATGTGTTTGTGTGCAAGCTCAAAAGACTAAATAAAACTAGCTACCTTAGAGCTATTTCTACCCTATAAATCCCCAGGCCTGAAACTTCAAAAACCCTAGACCCCAAGCCTAAAACCCTAGACCTTAAAACATACCGAAGGCACGTAAAAACTTGAGAACTGCAGATCCTCGCGCGGCGGCCTTCTCGGGGACGCTCACCTGCTGCGGAAGAGGATAAGGACAAAAATGCAGCAGGCCAGGCCAGGATCGGATGAAGGAGTTCAGGAGCTTGGGGATTGGGGGCTGATATTGTTTAATAGTATGTGGTTGTAAGTAGAGTCATCGAGTTTGCTAGGATTTACAAACAGGGTTTATGGTTCAGGATTTTCCGGCTGAGGATTTCGGTGACTTTTTTTGTTTGGCAAGGATCCTAAAGGCTTTTAAGCCGTACTTTTTATGCATTGTATCGGCATTATGGTGTCTAGCAAGGGTTCTTAAAGAACTTATAGGTAATAGTATCATGGTGATCTACGTAAAACTGAATAGCATATACGAGCACTTCCAAACGCTCTGAAACCAGCGTGCACTGCCCTTGTTGTAGGCCTAGGCCTTATAGTACCCTTAATTAAGTACTTGAATTTTTCTATCGGGAGATACCCTGAATTACACCAAACGAAAACCCAATGTAAAGGACTGCCATAACCGAGCCCCTTTGGGAACCCTTAACGAACTCTATAGTTCCCTTAAAGGAACCCTAAACCCCAAGCCCTAAACCTTATAGTACCCTTATAGATCTCTTAAAAAAGCCCTGTGGATCTTTTGAAGCGACCCTTAAAAGACCCTGTAGACCCCTCTTATAGGGACCCCTTACAGGACCCTATCGATCCCTTAAAGGGACCCTTCAAGGAACCCCTTAACCCTTGCCCTGTAAGGCTCAGAATGGCCCCAAAGCCTTATACAATATGGTCTTTAGGCCCAAAAGCCTTAAACCATGAGTCTTTAGAGCCTTAGGGTTAACGGAACACCGGCTCTCGCAGGTGCCGCCGAGAAGCGCGTCTGGAAGCGCGTGCGCGAGTTCTGGACGCAGACGGAACTGACCCTCAGCATTGATAGTATAAGGGGCGCCCAGAGGATTGAAAGTGTTTTAGTCGGGTTTTGGTTTTCGTGGAAAGGGTCATAATTCGGGGGCTTTGATTGGGTTCCAATTGGCTTAAAAATTATAACAGGGTAGGTATAGTTGATGGACGATCGCTTCGGCCAGCGTGTGTTGGGCATTTCCGATTTTTGCACTTGGATCTGGGGGTAGATCGCTTCTCCATGCTTTCTTGCCTCAAGGGTTTCGAAGGCCAGTCCGGGGGCCTTTATACGGTTGATGATATAAATCCCGCCGTACCCTTAAAGGGATCTATAAGGGTGGCTTTGAGGGGTTCTTTTAGGGGTTTATAGGGTTTGGGGTTTAGAGATATAAATCCGGCAATACCTATGTTAAGGAATATACCGTAATTCCAATAGTCTAGGGTCCTTAAGGTATCTTAAGGTAATGCAGGATTTATACCATCAACCGTATGTCCGATTTTTGCGGTCCTCGGATACCAATACGAAACGACTGACTACGGATTGTTTGGAGTTGAGCTGCCTTTCGCATCACTTAAATTAGGGACCCCAAAAGCACATAAGCATAAGCATTTTATGGGGATATCCCTACCTTATTGTTCTTCTTTATAAGGGGATTTATATGGGATATCCCTATCCAAATTTTGCTTATGTGCTTTTTGGGGGCCCTATTAAACTCCAGGACAAGGCCCTAACTCGGAACAGCCTCGGGTAGTCGTTGTAGGTGGTGGTGCCAATGTGTTCTGCCAAAAGCCCTAAGAATAGCTACTTAGTAGATATTTAAGATATATGGGATCCCGAAGTGTATGCTATACCTGCATCCCCAAACACGACAGATTAGTAGGTTATGACCCCTTAGTTAGAGGGTTTGTCCATGAAAACAGTGTTTTTATGGATCCCCTAAACCCTAAACCCCTAAAGCCCTACTAAACCCCTAAACCCTAGACACCATTACTTCGACCCTTGGTGTCTGCTTGTTGCAGCATCTGTGCGCCAGGGAGGTCGAAGAGCGCGGGGCGCAGACAGAAGCTTTGCAAAGGCGTCTGCAGAGACCGAAAGTTTAGGGGCATATAGGTTAGGGCTTAAAGGGGTTTAGGGGGGTTTATGGGGTGTGGGGGTTTAGGGGTTATAGGGTTTAGGGGGTTTAGGGTTCAGGCAGGCAGCAGCAGCGGCAGAGGTAGCCGCGTTGTCGTCATATTTGTCTTCATCACATCTTACATTATTTGAGTGTACGGTCCTACAGTCGGGTCATTGCTGAGGATCCACGGTTTGTTTGAAGCTCCATCATCATCATCGTCACGGTCATCAACAGAAACAAGATCTTACCCGTTTTCATCAGCGGCAGCTTTGGCGTTGACTACAGGTGTCATGACTTGGCAAAGCACATGTCACAGATGACGATGGCAATCACAAGGTTGAACCCATCGCACCAACTGCCCAATCGGTTCAAAGACATTGCGTTAGAATTTGTTGTTCACTTACAGCCGCGAGACTGTAACCACTCATGGAATGCGTGTAACACGCACACACACACAAACACACACACACACTCTCTCTCTCTCTCTCTCTCTCTCTCTCTCTCTCTCTCTCTCTCTCTTCCTCTCGCTTTCTTACACACACACGCAAGGGTCCAACTGCGCAAGGATCCCTCCGAACTACAGTTCTCCAGAGACGCGATCACCGCGTACTGCATTCTTTTTCTCTGCTGCATCTTGCATCGTCAATGTTCCAGTCTCAAAGAAGTGAGTGGTTCGCTAGACGACACTTCCCAAAATCCCGTACACTGAAACCCAGCTCCTTACCATCCAAGTGCCGCATGCTTGCGGATGAGAACAACCCAAAACCCCACAACCCTAAACCCTAAACCCCTATAAACCCGAAAACCCCTTAAACATTAGACCCACAACCCTGAATTTCAATTCCGAAGCAGGCAACACAAGAAGCAGCCGCTGGACCGCATGCAAAGGTCAGATGACAAAGAAGCTTCGTAGCTGAGTAATGTAGGAACCTTATTAAGAAACTTTAGGCCTTTACTAGGGTTCGTTATATGAATCCTACTATTTGGGGTTGTATGCCCAGGGTTTCCTGATCAGGTTCCTACAATAGGCAACCTTCAAGTGGAAGTCTGGGTGTCGCCATTGTACTGGTTTGTTTAATTTGTGTTTTTTTTAAAAATTAACAAGTCTAAATGCGAACTTGGGGTTTCTGTGTAGTATGAAAACGAATAGCTCAGAGTATCTACAGTTTCTATGTAATATGAAAATGAATAGCTCCAAGAGTATCTACAGGAGAGACTACAGTACCGCTCTGCAGGATTCTGCATGAGCGCGGGGCCCATAACCAATATGAGAGCTTATAAGGTTTAGGGTGGCTTATTCGTCATCGTGTTTGTTAGCGTTCCTTGTTGGGGCGGGTCATTAGTAATCGGCATATGTATTTAATAGCTCTGAGCTTATTCGAGTTCCTTAGGGTTTTTCAGCTGCACTAGATACATCACCAACACCGTTGTCCAATAATTACACAACCTTGGAACTGTCTTGGCTTGATCGCTGACAGTCGAGTATTGTTCTTAGAGTATGCGGCCCCCTCTTCTGAAATTAATCGGGGAGGTAAAGTTGATCCTGTCGGCCCTTGTCGTAAGAACTTTCCTTTCCTGGAATCGGTATCCGGAAGGTAACCCACCGATTTGGAACAGCTCCCTCCCGTGATGTGCTGCACTGGCACAGTGTAAGCTTCTGTCATCCCATTTGTTGTTTCAATGGCAGTTCTTGGGTGTTGGGTTTCCTTTTGAGAATGGTGCCGGAAAGCCCCCAAAGCGAAGCCCCAACTATTACGCCGTGTGCACAGAGCTTGCGTTAAACCCTAAATCCCCAATATGACTGAGGGCCGGATTCGCTGGTTTCTTCGGCGCGAAGAAGGAGCAAACATGCGAGTCGTCTGCGCGAGTGAGGATCTGTAGGGCGTACCTGTACTGCAGCGCAGAAATTGCTCCGTTGCGCTGCACAACACTACCCGCAGCACAAAAGTTATCAAGGGAATGCTCTGGTCAACTTTAAGAGTTTGAATTCAGTCTTTTGGTTTGGTGTGCGTTTTAAATTTGCAGGCTCACGCCTCAATGTTTGGAGTTTGCGGTCTATGGGCAGGCGAGATTGAAAGGTGCTGTCAGTAGAGGTTGGATACAAGTCCCAAAGAGTCCAAGTATCATTATGGTATATACTTAGAGGGTATTTTGTGGGTCGATCTAAGTGTATACCATAATGATATTTGGACCTTTTGAGAGTGCTGCAGCTTATAGCGAGCATTGATGTTGCTGTCGCCCTACAGCCTAAGCCCGAAGAGAGTAGTATAGGTGCCTCAATAATTACCTATACTGTTTTGGGGGTTCCTTATTTCCTTATTTTACCCAGATATTATAGTGCAATGGGCTCCAACACCCTATTTATATTATTAAGGCCCCTATATTAAGGGCAAGTTGATTCCAGAATCTCTGTGAGACTGAGAGGACAAGGGCGAAGCTAAACGCGGCGGGACCATGAACGCGGCTCCGTTGCAATGATATTTTATTTCTGGCCCTAAACCCTGAACCCTGAACCCTAAAAGGCGAGATGTTGCATAGTTTTGGGTTTGGGTGCGATCGTGGTTGGAATGGAGGGAGGACACCGAGAGTCGATGGTAGGGGAGTTGGTTCCGTTGCATGTTGGTAGCTGCAGTACGGTTTAGGGTTTAGGGTTTAAGGTTTAGGGTTTAGGGTTTAGGTTCTAGGGTTTAGGGGTTTAGGGGTTTAGGGTTTGGGGTTTAGGGTAGGTAACAGGACGGCGTGAGTTAGTTTGGATAGGCGATTGGAAAGTATGCAGACATCCCACCAGTTGAATTCCAACATCATAAGCCCTAGGCCCGAAACCCAAAATTAAGCGAAGCGCTGATTGGCCATGAACTGTAAAACCCAATGGGCCGAGGACCTGGAGGGAATGAAGGCACGGGCCCGCCACCGGCCGGCAGTGGTTTCGGGGACTCGGGGCTTACCTATAGTCTCCATTCTAGTTCCTTTAAAGGGGTTTAGGGTTCCTTTAAAGGGGTCTAAGGTTCCTTTAAAGGGGTTTAGGGGTTAGGGTTTAGGGTATAGTCTCCATTCTAGTTCCTTTGTGGGGTTACCTTTTAGGATCCTTAATATAAAATTGGTTAAACCAAAAAAAGGAACTACAATGGAGACTATAGGTAGGGTTTAGAGGTTTTGGTTTAGAGTTTTGGGGTTTAGGGTGTAGGGTTCTACAGATCTAGAGAGAAGGTGGGGGGTTTTGGGGGATAGGGCGCCGTTTTCTTTGTAGTTTTTGCGGTTTAGGTTCGTCTTTGGATTTAGGTTTGGGATACAGGGTTCCTTTGAGGGATCATGACCTAGGCTTCTGGCTATGATTAGGGATAAAGACTTGCCTGAAGTTAAGGGGCACATCCCAAAGGGTCCAAAGTACCGATATAGTAGAATGTAAGGTTTTTATATTAGGAGTTACTATTATGATTTGGGGAAGTATTCCCCATAACAGTACATAGGACCATTTGGGCATGTAGGAAGTTTAGCTGTTTAGGGCCGTCTAGCAATGCCAGGAACTCCGATATAGGTTTCCTTCTAGCGCACTCAACCCTCAGCCCTAAACCCGCTCAACCCTCTAAACCCTTTATACCAAGCCTTTAAACCGCCTTAACCCTAAAGCGTCAACCCTGAATCCTCGATCCATATTCCGATCGACTGCCAGTGAAGTGGGACGCCTGGGCCCAAAGGAAGTGCGAGGGTGGCCAAACGGCTGAGGGTTTATAATACCTTAACCTACCAAAACCCACTTTTTTGTAGGGTCCCTATACATTCCATATTAGGGTTTATAATAAGAACCTACAAAAAGTATGGTTTGGTAGTTTAAGGTAGGTTTAGGGTTTAGGGGGCTTCCTTATTAGAGGCTCAGAAGACAAGCATTAGTCTAATGATAAAATTTGTTTGATTTGACGATATTGCCCAAAGCGGGTTCTCGCATGACCCAATATACTGTAACCGACTTGTATAGCCAACTCCAGTGATCTAGGAAGTCGTCACCTTCTAGGCCCCTAAAAACCTTGCAACTCATGCTCTGAAGTCCAAGGAAAAGCGCTGATGAAGCCGCGGCTTGGCTTCCACCGCTCAAAGCAAAAGGGTTATAGGTTCAGAGTCTCAGATCGGGCCTTACCTCTTCCAAGGGGATTTCACGGGGCTTCACAGAGATTTTGTTTGAAACTTTGCAGGTTCTGGTTAAGGGCCTTAGGGTTAGAGTAAGAGTTTCTTGGGGTCACAGGCTTTCTCGAGTCCGAGAGCTTTGAAGTGGTGTGCAAACCTCGTCAGAAGACCTTGGTAAAAGGACACGCGACACCCCCAATAAATGCCCACAATTCAGTAATTCACTTCTATAAGCATCCTGCCAAATTTCATGCCCTGAGGCAGTATGACGTGGCAAACTACTACAAGACGGAGGGCGTCTTCCAGGCGATTGCGAGGCCTTTTGATAGGCTCATCGTCGAGGGTCAAGGCATGAGGTGGGAATTCAGGGTTTATGGTTTACCTTAAACTACCAAACCCTACTTTGTGTATGTTCTGATTATAAGCCCTAATATGGAATTTCTAGGGGCCCTACAAAACAGTAGGTTTTGGTAGGTTCAGGTAGGGGTTAGAAAAGCTTGTTTATAGCTGTATGGAGTGTAGACGGCTTTCGTAGACCTCTTTCTCATTAGCCTCGGGTTTAGATTTTAGGCACTGCTCCACAGGTGAATCTAGTACTGTTTGGGGCTACACCCTAAACCCTAAACCCTAAACCCTAAACCCTAAACCGTGTATGTAGAGTTTGAGGCTCCAAGCAGGGTAGTGGGCCTTCGGGGGCCGTAGAGGGTTCGGAGTTCCACATGTGAGACGTCTCTATATGACTGTCCGTTTTCGGGTCCACAGGCACAAACCCTAAACCCTAAACCCTGAACCCTGAACCCTAAACCCTAAACCCTGAACCCTAAACCCTAAACCTTAAACCCTAAACCTTAAACCGTCAAGGAAACCCCACAGTCCCAAAAACAGAGCCCCAACTGTAACTGTCACGAGGATGGCGCCCTCAACTTCGCTCAAGCAGCTAGGCCGAGACCCTACTTTTTTCCGTCTGATTCTCAGCTCCCTGTCCAGGACCTCATATCAATACAGTAGTACTCCAAAGCAGTGTCCCTTGTTGTAAGCTCCCAGAACAGTACGGACTCCCGGAAGTCTCCGAAGCAGAACCCTAGGGCCCTTTGGCCTAGATCCCGCAAGTATTAGGACTCAAACCCTAAACCGCAAATCCTTTTAAAGCCCTCCAGGGTGTTGTTTATGAAGCCTTGTCGACGGCATGGTAAACCTTAACCCCTCAAGGATTGGATGTACGGTTTAGGGTTCAGGGGGTTTTGGGGGACCTAGTGGGGAGGTCGGGCATGTTCGACCAACTGACAGTGCTGGTCGTGTCTCTGAACGCCATCTGGATTGCCTGGCGCTGAGTTTGCAGATCTGAGCTGCTTCCCGTTTGGGCTAGCGAAAAACCTACTTCACAACCCTAGGACCCTAAAGCCCGACACTCAACATGCTGCAACCCTTTCAAACCACTTACCGGGCCCGTAAACACCCTACTAATTAAGCCCCAAAACCTACCTGTTGCCCCAAGCCCATTGGAGAGTAGAACCCTCAAGCCCTAAACCCAGGACCCCGATCCCTAAACCCTATAGATTCTCCGAGGCGATCGACACCGACAACAACGACGCAGTACTGGTCAGCGATGCAGATCCTGTCTTTCAGGCCATGGGGGTCACTTAGATAGCTCCAAGAGCTTCCAGGGTTCCTTGAAGGGTTCTAATGTAAGAACCTGATTAAGGCACCCTGAGCCTATAACCCCAAAACAGCATGATGCACATAAGGAGCCCAATAACGACCCAAGGTTTCTAAATCAGGTTCTTCTAATATCTCGCGTCCTTGATGGTCCACGGAGTCCGGTAATTAGGTACTTAGGCTGTTTAGGATAGTAACTGTAGATCAGTATTTGGGACAGTCTATGATTTCTGTCGAAATAAGCCATTAAAACTAAACAGCTTGTCAAGGAGCATGTACGTTAACCACTCATCATTACCATGGTTTTAGGTATATTCCTGACAATCGGACGCACGCAGGGGGTTTCCGAAAACTCACGGTCTGGATGTCAGCCTTTGTCGTGTCGCTCCAGCAGCCTACAAGCTAATGCCCTTTAGTTTAGTCCTCGAATAGGGCTTATGGGTTAAGGTTTAGGGGAATACAACAGCACCTTGATGATCTGTTTAGCTTTGTTGGGGACGTATGTATCGGACAACCATGCTCTCAATCCCTTGTTCAAAGGTCGGAACAATTACGTCCCGTTGTCGTTCCTATGCAGTTATACCAGGCTATACCCCAACGCTTTCTTCGAATCATGAATTCAAGGTCACGGCAAAAATGCTTAAACTCCTAAACGCTTGCGTATTATGGAACCCCTGAAATAAAAGAGTCATACTTTGATTAACACTGGCGTTTATAAACCGTGACGGCTTAAGCCGGCGATTCCAGACCTGCCCGTCCCGCCCCGAGCCTACAAGCTTTGCAAATCCTGACGTTACAAAACTGCGACCTGAAAACTAAGATTAGGACTTGGAGTTTACCTTTCGATTGAGGTTTGGGTTGGATCCCGACACTCAGATTCGATTTGTATGATCCCTGAGCACATATGCCTCTTTGAAGCCCACGGAACTGCAGGCTGCCACGGAACCAAACTGCCGGGGGATGGCTTTGAGTTGCGACTTTAGGTTTTGGGTTCGGGGTTTGGCGGCTGACGGGTTGGGTTTGAACGCATCTCATTAGTTAGTTCCGCAAGCTACGGTTGATGATATAAATCCTGCATGACCCATAATAAGGAATATACCCTAATTCCCATAGTTTAGGGTCCCTAAGGTCATGCAGGGTATATATATCATCAACCGTAGGGATGGCAGAAGGATTTTATAGGGGCTTCAGGGGTTCAGGAGTTTAGGGGTTTAGAGCTTGGGATGGGCTGCTTTGACATGATCAGGTCCCACAGTACCATCGACCTCGACCCTTGACCTCTTGCACAGCCCTGCTTGCCAGCATGTCCTCACTGAGATCAACCGTCACCCCAGCCCAAAAACCCTTCCCTGAGACCTAGATCCCATCAGACCAAGAACCTCCTAAAACCAAGCAGAAGAAGTAGGTTTGGACCCACAATTATGTGGCCTAACCTTGGTTTCCTAATCCAGGGAAGGACCCTAAACCCAAATAGCCCTACAAGATTCTCAGCAAGCCTTTTAAGCAAGTCCTTGTCAAACCCGGGACGATTAAAGGAAACTGCTTCCTCGAACCCTGGTCCTCCAGCCGAAAAAGCCCTACGGACCCATGTGCCCAAATGGTGTACACATTGGCCCCAATGTACCTATAAAGGGACTACTTTAAGGCCAATGTATATACTATTTAGGTGGACCCTTAGGGAAATGCAAACATATGGCCGCCCAAAGCGCGGAAGCAAGACTTGGGACGGGGCTATCTTATACAAAAAAGATCCCGATCACGAGGCCCAATGAGGTAGAGATACCCGTGTAAGCTTATGCAGGTCGTGGAGAATGTGTCCGCCCCTGAGTCGTTCTTCTTGCAGCTTCCACAGGTTTCAAAACTCCGGAAATAAGGAACAGCTTCATTTCACCAAATCCTACCGCATTCCAAGAGGTTTAGAAGGAAGCCACAACAAGGAACTGGTGGAATGTAATTTTCGTGGGTCTGGGTATATTGTAAATGAAGGGAGGTGTAAGTTTCTTACAATGATCTGGGAGTAGACCCCCAAAGCCTTCGGCACAGTAAGCTCGAGTTTAAGTTATAGCCTCACAGGCGACGGGCAGTCTAAGCCCCATGAAGAATCAGGTTCTGGATCCACAGGAAAGCTGCCAATGTGCCTCTTAAGAGCGATGGTTTTAGGATTCACAGGTATTCCTGATACTAAGCCTTTAATCCCAAAGCCCTAAAACCCTGAGCCCCTCGATCCTGGTACCCTTGAATGAAAGTGTCTTGCGGTGAGTGGCAGACCCTCTCACCAAAAAGCAGGAAGCGCAGAAGCGTAGTTTTTTTGGGCTGTTTCCGGAACCCGGAACCCCCTGAAAGGATCTGCCAAATGGAGCCCCGCAAAAACCCAAAGGGTCGTATGTACCTATATAGTAGAATGTGGGGATTCTATATTAGGAATTACTATTATGATCCAGGGAAGTATTCCCCATAACAGTTCCTAGCACCCTCTGGGAGAGGTATCCGACCATGTTGCCTGCACTGGGCCATTTGGAACCTTAGTTCCATACCAGGGTCCTTGTTGCCTTAGTGGTTCGAAACCCAACCTTTCCACTTTCAAGGCTCGTGTAAGGTACAGCGGATCCCAGAAAGTTGGAACATGGATCGAGGATGATTAATGCTAGGATTCCCGATACTTTACCTTAAGAGCATCAAGATAAAGATGTTCCAACTTTCTGGCTTCTACTTTAGAGCTGTGGAAGGATTGTAAGTGTGTAAAGTTGTTGTTTCGGGTGTCGAACTTAGGGATAGGTGTCCTACTTCAGGCTGACCATCTCAAGTATAACCTTGCTAATCTTATTCTGAAAGTTCGAGCTTTCTGCCCATGGGTCTTCGGGATTTTCAATCCCTAAGGCCTAAACCCCCAAACTCTAAACCCCTAAACCCCTAAACCCTAAACCCCTAAACCCCTAAACCCTAAACCCTAAAACCCTAAACCCTAAAACCCTAAACCCCAAACCTCAAACCCAAAACCCCTAAACCCTAAACCCTAAAACCCTAAACCCCTTAACCCTAAGCCCCAAACCTCAAACCCCCAAACCCTAAACCCTAAACCCCTAAACCCCTAAACCCCAAACCCTAAACCACTAAACCCTAAACCCTAAACCCCTAAACCCCTAAACCCCAAACCCTAAACCACTAAACCCTAAACCCTACAGGACCCCCTGCGCTTTCCTGTTCCACTTCCTCCCCGGGCCGCGCTCGGAGTGTAAAGTGCGCATCTTCCGCCTGTTCCATGATATCGGGGGGCTCCAAATAGCCCAAAGTAGGTAATATTTATAGACTTTGGGCCCCAAATTAGGTACTATTTGTATACTTGGAGCCCCAGGGAAAGCATATAAGCTTCTATAGTTAAGACCAGATGTCTTTCGCGACGCCTATAGTGGCCCTTAAAAGGAGCCCGTCTAGGCATCCCGAAATAAGCCTATCGTAGCCCTTATAAATCCCTACAACCCCAAACCTCTAAACCCCTAGACCCCTAAAGCCCTAACCTGAATCAAACAGATCAAAGATCGTCCCCCGAGGTTCTGCACCTACTTCTTTGGGGCCTCCCGGATCTATTCGGCTTCTTAGGGAATTAGAGTCATGGATGTAGGCTTAAAGATTTACGGGTTCAGGCTTTGTGGCAATGAGGATGTTGAAGTTGTGAGTTCAAGGGGGTTTAGGGTTTAGGGTTTCAAGAGTGTGGGTTGGTTTCGGCGAACTGTCAGCGCTTGCAGGGATCAAGGCCAAAGATAGGGGTTTAGGCCTTCGCTCGCCTGGGTTCCATACTTGGATTCAGCGTTGTGTCGGACGCACACGGAGGTTCATGTTAAACTGTGAACTCCGAACACATGCGTTCGGGTATAGCTGCTATTCTACTCACTCTATAGAAGCATTCTGAAAGGCCCTGGTCTAGCTTTTTCCTCTACATGGTGTAGGGATGAGTGTGTGACTTGGAAGCCTTAGCCGATTGGCATACACCTGCGGAAATCAGGAAATTGCGATCCGCTTCTTCGCCTTTGAGGGGAAGAAGCACGCCTTCATGGACAAGTGGCTCGTGTCAAACTGACAGGGTATCTACAGTAGGTCACATAGGGCCACAAGAGCACATTGCAGAATTCATGACACAGTGATGGTCGCTTTGGTTTTCGGGACTCCTTTGAGGAGTCTCTATGTGCCCAAGACGTAGGATCCTCGGGTGTAGTCTATGCCAGAGCCCCCAACCAAACCCCTTCTTAGCATGTTTTGGGTTCTTGAAACGTTCTAAGAAGGCTCCAGTTATTAGGGCTCACATTAGATATCAGGTCTTGCCTTTGGTTAGTAGGGAATGGAGGAATGGGGTACAGTTATTACTACTATTACTACCATTCTTCCATTCCCTACTAACCAAAGGTAAGAGGTTTGAAGCTTCAAAACCAAGAGCAGGGTAAGGGTTCTCAATCCTCAGCCGTTCAACACGTGCAAAGCACAAAACACTCTGTCTGAAGCATCGGTGCAGGTGGTTTCTCTTTGACTTCCTCCTGGTACTGAATATGGTGATTGAAACCTGGATATTGCCTCTGGTGCGCCTTGGCGAAACCTATGAACACCAATCTTTCAGTTGCCGAAGGTTGCCCTAAGCTTGAATGCTTCAAGTGTTCAGCTGGAAGCCACTCAACAAGAGTCGCACGGACTGAGTTCTAAGCACCCAGAAAGGAAGGAACACCAACGAGTTGTATGCGGACCATGTAGAGCGGCCATGGCCTGCAAAGAGAGAGCTCATTACTTTATAAGGAGGCAGGTCCTGTAGGCGAGCACCGACGCAGCATACATCCTGGTGCCGAAACCCCGAGCCCTTTGTTCAGGCCTCAACCCTGAACTCTACATGCCATAATCCCCGAATCCTATACGCCCTAAACTCCCGAAGACCTAGACTTAGAGGCTCGGACGACTTGCAAAGTAGGCTCAAGGCAATTATGGTGAAGCTTATATGGAATAGCTCAATCCCTGGTACTTGTGACCCGGCGCACGACATCCCTCATCCTAAAGTAAAACCATCATGCCTTTGTGCAGCCACTATGCATAGGCTCCATTGTAGTTCCTTTTGGGGGATTACCTTATCGGACCATAGGATTCTAAATAAGAACCCCAAACAGGAACTACGGTTGATGATATAAATCCTGCATCACCATAATAAGGAATATGCCATAATTCCCATAGGCTAGGGTCCTTAAGGTAATGCAGGATTTGTATCATCAAAAGTATATGGGGCCCATGGGTATCCTTTAAAGCACCGAAGAGTGCAAGGCTCTCTCTCCTAAGTGGAGATGGAGCTGCAAACACCATCGACGTGTCGATGCTGCGATGCTTGACTTAGACAGTGAACGGGTGAACTTTAAACTTTTTGGCCTTACATATGAGCTCTATCTTACAAGCTTGAACTTTGTGGGGACCGGTTGTTGAAGCAGGGAGTTGACAGAGCGGTTTGAGAATTCTCTGCTAGAGTTTGGGGTCCAGGGTACTGGTTTGAGAATTCCCTGCTAGAGTTTAGGGTTTAGGGGACTGGTGTTTTCGGGTTATCGTATACTAGAGGCTGTCCTGCAGTCTTGCTGGAGTGGTCCACGACTGGAGGGCTGTTTTGGGGAAGTGAGTTTTTCTGAAGCGTAAAAATGCAGTCTCGTTCGAGCAATGCCCCTTCCCCCCCGCTTTTGCTCAGACATCTGTTCCGACTCATGTAGGGGCTTTGATAAGTAGAATAGGGCTTGTGGGTAGGAAAATTACGTGTAATAAGGAGCCCCGCAAACCCTATTTTATTTTTCAGGCCCCTACATTAGTCAGCCTCGCGATCTGTAGCGTGACGCCTGAGGCCCTATACTCAATCCATGTCAAGTAGGACAGAAACAAAGGGGTCAAAGTAGCTATCCCCTTTGGTTGCCAATCGTATTGGAGTAGAACATGTCGCAACAACCTCTTCGAATCATTCAGGCCTTCATATTACCCAGAGGGTCCATATACACTACTATTATGGAATTAAGCTCTGAAAGACCATCCCCACTATGGTTTTGGGGACCTAATTCCATAATAGTAGTGTATATGGACCCTCTGGGTTAGTTACCCTGAACCTGAAGCCCCCAATCACCCTTGACAAGGAATGCTGCGGCTGGTGAAGCTCACTCGGCTGTCGCGCATGGCACGCGTCCTGCGTTCCGTCCCTGAATTGGCGATCATCGTGATGCTTTGCTGCACCCAGAGTGCAAACCATCCCTTCTCTAAGCAGGACTTTAGGGGCTTGGGTGTGGGGCCGCAAATCAACATTCGGGTACATCTTAGTATGTATAGCAGCCGGACAGGCCCCACCCTATATCAGGAGACTCCAGAACGAAGCGGGATTTCGTCAATATCCGGGTTTTCTTTGGTGACCTTACGTATGGGGTTTATTCTTCTTCATCTTATGATTAGTATTCTTTTACTGCCAACATCTCAAAAGCCTCAATCCCCTAATCCTTTGAGGGCGGAGACGCTCCAGTACGGTACCTCGCGGTCTAAACAAACCTATTTCCCCAATATGAATCGGACCGCCCGACCTACCCCCCCCCCCCCACGTAGGCAAATACTCGGACATCGCTTATAAAAGGCCATTATTCTGCATACTTTTGGCTTTTGGCGCCCAGTCGGTTCATGTTCCTGGTGTCTACGGCGGAGGTGTTCTCAGTAAATAAGAGGATGCCTCCGCGATGTGATTGCTTCGGGAGCAGCTGGGGAGAGCTTGGGGAGTGGGTTGGGAGTTATGTAGTTGGGAGCAGCTGGGGAGTGGGTTGGGAGCACTAAAGAAGATAATTGCTGAAACCGGCACTTGGGCCCCTCCCAAAGCCGACCCGGATTCTTAAGGAAACCCGAACCGCCCTCCCAAGACGACCCCGCTACTTGCCCAAAAAGAATTCGGACCTGCATCCGGAAGAGGCCCAGTTTGCAGAGGAGTTGGGAGTGGGTTGGGAGGAGGTTGGGAGTGGGTTGGGAGGAGGTTGGGAGTGGGTTGGGAGGAGGTTGGGAGTGGGTTGGGAGGAGGTTGGGAGTGGGTTGGGAGGAGGTTGGGAGTGGGTTGGGAGGAGGTTGGGAGTGGGTTGGGAGGAGGTTGGGAGTGGGTTGGGAGGAGGTTGGGAGTGGGTTGGGAGGCGGTTGGGAGTGGGTTGAGAGGAGGTTGGGAGTGGGTTGGGAGGAGGTTGGGAGCTTGGGAGGAGGAGTGGAGAGGGTTGCGAGAGGGTTGGGAGAGTGTGGAGTGGGTTGGGAGAGGGGGAGAGGGTGGGAGAGGGGGTTGGCACCCAACACCATGCTTACGAAGACGACCCAGAGAAAGCTGTGACCGAACACCACACTTACGAAGACGACCAAGCAAATATGCATACCCCAACACCCTTTCTTATATAGTGAGAACACCTACTTTGCAGACACCTGAAGAATGCGTGGACCCAGGTACGGCCCAAACCGCCCAAAACTACCAAACCCGAACCCTCAGCCCGAGCAGCCCCACGGTCCAACCCTCACCGACCTGCCCTAAAACCCTAACCCTAAGGGTCCATGTACTCATATAGCATATACTTGGGCCCCAATGTACCTAAATACGGACTACATGAAGGCCAATGTATATACTATATGAGTACATGGACCCTTGGGGCTAAGCCTACCTTATTCCCACCTTCGCAGTTTATTCAGCTTGGAGGTCGTAGAAATGAAGTGGTTTCTCAGGGTCCAGGTAGACCCTCAACACTGAAACCTCGAACTCACGAGCCGCGCTTCGAAGGAAAGCCATTGGCCTGTCTGCGCGCTCCGTCAGCGTATTCTTCCTCCTTTGGCTTGTGCCCTCGTCAGCAGATGCTGCTTTCATTGTTCAAAACCCTAAGGGTCCATGCACCCAAACAGTATATACATTGGCCCCAATGCACCTATATAGGGACTACTTTAAGGCCAATGTATATACCATTTAGGTACATGGACACTTGGGTAAAGGAGGGTTCGATCTACAGAGTTATTGTTGGTGGACACGCAGGACCATAGGCACACAGGGGATGTATCTCCATAAGCCAAAGTCCTATTTCTCAGAGGATTTGACGGCAAGCTTGCTGCTTGTTTGTATTACCTGCACCAACCCTTGAACATGAGATCCCTTCTTTTCTGTAACTGCCCAATTCCTGACAGAGCCCGTTCCATTGACTTTTCAATTTCAGGTACTTGAGGGTTTAGTCAACTTTTCCGATTGTAGAGTGTCAAGGGTTTAGGGTATTGGGCTGAGGGTGCTTTATGACAGACCTGGGGGTTCGAGATGTAGGGGGTGATTGAGAGTTTATGAGGGTTTGGGGTTCAAGTTTAGAGGTCACTCTTGTTAATCAGTAGACCTCTGCCAGAAACAGGGGCTACGAATGACAAAAGCCCACTTCGTATGAGCATAGTAGGACACTCGAATTTGCCTTAGCCTTGCATCTATCTGTATGCAGCCCTACCAGGCCGAAAGAGAGGTTTCGGCATCTATACCTTCAGAGAAAGAGGTTGTAGTCTTTTTTAAGCTTACGTCTCATCATTCTGTCCAGTCTTTCGCCCCGAAAGCCTTCGAATCGAGGGCTATCTCTACTTTACGGTGTTCTTCAAAATCTGCAGTCAGTGGCTCTCACTCAGGTCCTGATCTATGTCTTTGCCGTCGTGTTCAGGCACGGGGGCTTTGGATTTAGAATTTAGTTTGCGGTCCAACTTCTGATGCAATAGTCCCCGGCAAAATTGCTGTTGCGGCCCCTAAACCGAAAGGCCCTAATCCCGAAACCCTAAACCAAACCCCAAACCTTAAAAGCAACAGCTCAAAGCCAAAGCCGGGAGAGGCAGCTGACGGACGGAAATGACTTGGGTGCTGCTTACTTCAGTTCTGTGCCGAATGCGCAGCTTGGCTCACGATTGGCGGTTTAGGGTTGAGGGCTTGAAACCCTAACCCCTAAACCCTAAACCCCTAAACCCCTAAACCCCTAAACCCCTAAACCCCTAAACCCCTAAACCCCTAAACCCCTAAACCCCTAAACCCCTAAACCCTAAACTCCTAAACCCTAAACCCCTAAACCCCTAAACCCCTAAACCCTAAACTCCTAAACCCTAAACCCCTAAACCCTAAACTCCTAAACCCCTAAGCCCTAAACCCCTAAACCCTAAACTCCTAAACCCTAAGCCCTAAACCCTAAACTCCTAAACCCTAAGCCCTAAACCCTAAACTCCTAAACCCTAAGCCCTAAACCCTAAACCGTAGGGTTTCTGGCTAAGGGCTTCGGATTTGGGCCCGCAGGCGGAACTTGGGGCTACAAACAGGATGACCACGGCTTGGGGACGTATTGATTTGTTTAGGGGTTTAGGGTTTAGGGTTCAGGGTTAGGGTTTAGGGTTTAGGGTTACCCCATATACATATAATGTAGTATGTTGCTTGCAATGTCATCTGATCCGAAGAACCTTATTGACGGGCCCTTCGAAATCCTCTCTAATCGCCAATAGACTGCTGAGCCTTCTGATTTTCGGTGGCAGTGCTTGTGGTTTTCAGACTCTACTCCATAGTCTCGATTAACGTTCCTTCTTGAGGCTCAGCAAATCTCTATTGCAGGATCCTAAGCATAAGCTGAAGAAGCAACGAATGAACTACAACGGAGGCCAGGACATGAGTAGACCCGGTCAGCCCGTAACTTATGGAACACTCATTTGGTTGTACCACTGTGCACCCAGGAACCTTGCTAAACCTTTGTAGGCTTCTGCTTAGCCACGATGACGAGGAGGTGCACACAGCTGATGGCCACCGAAACTCTCACACAAAATACTTCTGGAGGGTTGAGAGTCCATCCATGTCGATGAAAAGCCCGATCCAGTCCTGTGTCGTAGCTTATAACTTCCAACCCGCCTGTACAGTATAGCAGCGGTTACGATTTGTTAGCTACAGGTATCTCCCATCCATGCATATACCCGCAGGATGGACACACTGCTCATGGATGGCATATTGGCAGACTATGCTCCCATCCTGCATGTGGCCGCATTGGCTGCACGTAGCTGTTGCCAACAGCATCCTCGGAAGTGTCAGGGTTCAGGCTTCTTTTGAGGGTGTAGGGTTAGGGTTCAGCGTCTTAAATCCCAAACCGTAAACCCCAAAGCCCCATGCAAGACACCCTTCTGTTTGTGTGGTTGAGCTCTTTGCTTTCCAATGGCTTGCAGGCGTCTTGATCTAGACACGCGATTCGTGGAAGCTCTGATGAGACGCTTCGGGTTTAGGGTTTAAAGTTTACTGTCTTGCAAGCCCGTGATGCCTGTGTCGCAACCCGTTGTGACCTTATCGGCAAATCCAACCCCAAGTGAAGCCCGTCCCCTCTCCGACAGTCATTGTTCCGAAATCTCATAACACCCTCAAAACACCCTCCGAAGAGCTTTCGAGCCCTCCTTCAAGCTCTATGTTTACACCAAGCCTCGTCGTAAATGCCTGTGAGTTGTTTTGAAGCTCATAAAGCCACGTAGAAATCATAGTGAAGAACCCAGGTCTTTAAGGGTTACGGCAATCCCTGAGCCGTTTGTGGGCTTTATAGCCATGTGTCGTGCCAGCCGCCAAGGTGGGCTCGCAGGGAGGTCCGTTGGAGCGACTCGGTTCGAGGGACGGTGGGTTGTAGGGTTTCAAGGGGTTTCAAGTTTTTACCGATTTGTAACCAATAAGGCTGACGGAGTTTATGGTTTCAGGGGTTTAGGATTCCGGACTAAGGGCTTGGGGGCTAAGAGCCTAAGGATTTGCGGCTTAAGGGTCGGTTTTGAGAGTTTGCTGGGTTGAGGGTGACGAGCGGGGCCCGATTTGTCATTGCTTGATTACTCGAGCACGAAGGGGCTTTGCTCTAGGTTAGGTCCCTTCTCAGGCCACTATCACCCGAGTTTTGGTTCGAGTAGTTAGCAAGGGTTCTCAACTCGGAGAATCATCCATTAATCCACTACTTCTCAGTTCCCTGAAGTGAATGCAGGGACCATGGGTTCCACTCCCCGATGGCCTGCGAGGTGGTGCATAATGCTGTTCTTCGTGCTGCTCGCGGCCGTCACGATTATGCAACATGGCTCGACACTGACCAGCGTGGAAAAAGCATGCGGACGGTGGTGCCAACATTGATCGTCGTTGTCGGGAGGATGCATGTGCAGGAACATGTCAGGAGTTCTCGTTGCGGCATGCACCTAAAAGGTAGTACTCGATAGAGCTCTTCGCTATAACTATAGTTTAAGATGCCCAAATCTGTATCTTATCATTAAAGCCTCTTCACTTGAGGTTGTATAACAAGAGAGAGGGGTTCTTATAGATTAGTCTAGGATGCCCGTTTATTCTGTAAAACGATAAGAAGCAACATATAACGATAACGATCGAATGCATTTTACATGGGTACTATGACTACTCCTGCTACGATTACCACTACCTACGGTTTACCGCTACTGCTGCGACTGCTCCTACTGATCTTGCTACTGATACTGAAATGCTATTGCTTTGTGTAAATTGAGGCTTTAGGGCCTGCACTTGTGCAAGCTGAGGCTCGCTGAGGCTTGAGAGGCTGCGCTAGTACAAACTGAGGTTTGAGAGACTGCACTTGCTTCTGCAGGCTGCACCGCTGTTAACTGAACATTATATACTATAGTCTCCTCAGGAATTATTTTTAATTCTGTTCATATAAAGCCCAACAGAATTTTAAACATACTGCTTTTGTTTTGGTTCTAAAGGGGATAAAGCTTACACACTTGCTACACCAAGCCTGCAACGTCCGAGGCAAGTTGAGTATCCACAAAGATAACGAAACGATAACAAAAAATGTTAACTTTTGTTTGACAGAGGTGCCTTTTGAAGATCATGAGCCATCCGGTACTCGTGCCAGCTAGCCCGTTGAGGTGTTGTTCACCTGTTCGTGAGATCTTTAAACATCTTGGGATACGCAATTGTAGACTATAGATGGGCTGTAAGATGCTACAAGCCACCCGGATCCAACCGTGTTCCCCATACTTGTCAGAAGTGATAGCCCTTGATACCTTGTAAGACGACACGGAGTAAACGACGATAACCCAGTTTGGGGAACCATACCGGGGCTTTTATAGAAGCTCACTTTGCCTCTCTTACAACACGGACACGTTCGCATTTGTTGGGAAGAGTTGCCTGCAAGTCCACACTCGCTTGAGGCAACATGCCGAGTTTCAGAATTTCAAAGGCACCACTGATCGTAGTTTCAGAGGAACCCACATTATGATAATAAGCATCCTACACCACTGACTTGTCGTTCCGTCAAAAGTGACAGTCTTCACATGCCTGCATCAACAAGACATGCAGCCGTTCAACCAAGGTGCCCGTATCCCCAAACCCTTCAGAACAGTAGGTTATGACCCCTCGAGTTTGAGGTATATCAACCAAAACAGTAGGTTTTGGAGCAATAGGTACATGCTGGTGGGGGTGCTCGTAGAAGTGGTGGGCGCGCTTGCGCACGCAGAGAATCCTGGCGAAGGGTTTAGGGCTTCCTGTTGGGTTTCCGCATTGGGTTTGGGGATTCCATCAGGTTTCGGCTTTCGGATGGTTTTTTGTTGCCGCGAAGTCCGCTACAGAGCCGCAAGAGACCAGGTAAACAGAACCATCACAATCAGCGTTTTCCCAGGTCTCCCGTACTGGGATCTCAGAAGCACTTCTACACTATCGGGGACATAAGGCCTTTTGCTCAGTAGTTGAGTGCTAGTTCTTGACTTGTTTAATAGAAGTCTGCCTCCGTGTAACGGTTTGAACTCGGAAACCCAGACCCTATCCTGCTTCGTGTTGACCCTAGGTCCTAAGGCCCTAGCTCCTTGAATCCTAAACCCTATAGACCCTAAGTCGTGTTCCGGGCCTGGGAATTCTGCATACGATTCCTGGACCAATCCTTGCATGTGCCATGCCGAGGAATATGCATTAAGGCGTTCATAGTTTAGGATACTTAGGGGTTGCGGGGGTTAGGGTCTCCTCAGGTTGAGGACAGGTAGGGGAATGCAAAGTTGTGACCAGAAGCCCTAAACCCTAAACTCTCAACCCCACACCCTAAAGCCAGAACCCGAAACACTACCCGAAAACCGAAGCCCTAAACCCAAGACTGAGGAAGGAAAGCATCACCGACACTTGGCTGACATTACCCAGACCTTCCAAAACCCCTTAATTAAGGAATATACCTTCAATCATATTAGGGACCCTACTACAATTCAAGGTATATTCCTTAATTAAGGGGTTTTGGAAGGTCTGGGTAGTTAGGGTTTTTCTGTTCTCAAGATGGGAGTGTCCGAAAATAGGTAGTATAGTAATCGTCGCCTCATGCTCCTTTCCCTCTCGAGGCTGAAAAGGCATTTTCCTGGGAGAATGGGGTTTCAAACTTGGACAGCTTTGCGAAGTGGCGGTCTGGGTTTTGAGCTAGATTGACGGATTCGGGTTGCCGCCGTACGATGTAAGACCCGTGGCGATACGGGAGTTTCCGAAAATAGGGCACCCTAATATGGTACACTACATAGTAGGATCCTTTTTGTAAGGACTCCGCAAAATACGGTACCATCTAATTTTCGGAAACTCCCATATGGACCAGTAACAGTACCTTTCCGTAGGTTACTTGTTATATGCATTGAAGAATATTCGCCCAAACCCCATTCATCCTGCTAAGAAGGTAGCATAAAGCCCGATGTATAGCAACCTTGCGGAATCCTGCAATGACTGCCTTAGGTGGGCTATGTGGCTTCCACTCTCCGTGACAAGATGCAAAGCCATGGACACGATGTCGCCACTTCGTCTGCGGTTTAGGGGTTGGGGTTTCGCACATGACACTGAATGCTGCGCGGGTATGGGAGTTAGGTTTGGCCGCCGGCAAAGAAAATCGAATCCTAAGCCCCTCGAGAGCAAGACAAACGTCCCTCATACAGGGTGTTTGGAGGCCCCGGCAGCACCATTCATCTCCCCTCGCCAGTGCAGTGGCTCTTTCTCCTGTTGAGTGCTCAAGTATATATTTGTATGAATTCCAGAATCTTCCTGGGGTCGAGAGTGCAAGGTTCCAGGTACGGTTCAACGTTTAGCTTAGGGGTGAGGGTGCAGTGCAGCGAGGTTCACCCTCCTAGAACCGTGATAACAACCCACATGGAGCCCTTCCAAAACGCTTGTGGAGCCGCTGTGGAACCCAACCACCACCCCGAGCAGTGCACTCAGAAACCAGAATCCTAAATCCGAATGCTAAAGATCGAACCTAAGCCCTAAGCCCCAAGCAATACACCCCCCCTTTCAACTTCATTCATGAGGAGATTCGACTTGGGAGGGTTGGGTCTAACATGTTCAAAAAGCCCTTAGGGATTAAGGTTTAGGCTTCAGAGTTTAGGGTTCAGAATGTTGAGGGTTCAGGGTTTAGTGGGTTCATAGAGAGTTTATAGGATTCAGGGTTCAGAAATTAGGGTTCGGGGTTTAGAATTCAGGGTTTAGGGTTCAGGGTTTAGGCTTTAGGGTTTGAGGAACCCTTGAAGGAACCACTTAAAGGAACGTTCAGGGTTTACCTATAGTCTCCATTGTAGTTCCTTTTTGGGGTTACCTTCTAGTATCCTTTATATAAAATCGGTTAAACTAAAAAAGAAACTACAATGGAGACTATAGGTACTATACCCTAAACCCTAAACCCTGAAGATCCGTTATAGGATCCCTTATAGATCCCTTTCAAGGGACCCTAAACCCCCTCCCCCCTTAGGGTTTGGGAGCGAGAAGCAGTGCCAGGAGTCGCCTCTCAGCAAAGCGGAGCTCCAGGAGTCGCGCTCGGGGATCTCTTTTTTTTGCCGGGGCCCTTAACTCTGTCAAAGTTGGGTAACATTTTACATGTTTTTGGGTACTTAAACCCAATAAGGAATAAAAATGTAAATTTTTAATCCTATCCCAACCATGAACTAGTTAAGGGCTTTGGGTTCTTAAGGGTTCCTACAAGGGCTCCCTTAAGGGATTAGGGTTCCTTTAAGGGTTCCTATAAGGGCTCCCTTAAGGGTTTGGGGTGCCTTTAAGGGTTCCTAGAAGGGCTCCCTTAAGGGTTCAGGGTTCCGGTAAGGGTTCCTAGAAGGGTTCCTTAAAGGGTTCCTATAAGGGCTCCCTTAAGGGTTTGGGGTGCCTTTAAGGGTTCCTAGAAGGGCTCCCTTAAGGGATCAGGGTTCCTTTAAGGGTTCCTATAAAGGCTCCCTTAAGGGATAAGGGTTGCTTTAGGGGTTTAGAATACCCTTTGTGGGGTGTGTACGGTCTTGGTCTTGCGAAGATTTCGCAGCGCTTTTCGGTGTTCTTCTGGTTTTTGCAGCCTACACAAAGCCTTAAAGCCTGAACCTTAAAGAAGGGGATCCGTATTCGTGACCTTGCAAGCTTCTGCTGTTCTTAGACCCTGATTAAACCCTAAACCATCCTAAACCCCAAAATCCCGTTCTGGAAGTTTTCAATGATCCCAAACACCTAACCCCTAAACCCCTGATCCATAAAATCCCCCTGTCGGAGAAGCCTTTGAAGGATGCTACTATAGGGGCCGTAACAAATACCTATATTATTTCGGCCTTACTATAAGAACTGTAGAGTGGTTCCCAAAATCCTGTTCTAATTATTAAGGCTCCTGTCTTAGCCTCTGGGCCAAGCTCTGGGATCTTTATTCCAATTGCTCGTACGGTACATAGTGGTTCTCACAACCCGGTTGGTTCTAGTTTTTAAGGCCCCCCCCCCAGTACCGCGCGATCGGCCCCCATCGGTTTACATGGTCGCTGCGAGGACCTTTTACTGGATCCTGAGATCCTGGAGGCAGGGTTTAGTTTTTTTTTTGGGGGGGGGTGGGGTAGGGGGGGGGTTGTAGGCTCTATAGGGTTTAAAACCCGTGTGGGTTTAGGAGTTGGAAAGTAAGCTTTAGGGTCTCTAGGTGTCTTCTTTTTTTTGAGGTGTTAGGGAGGGTTCCCTATTACAATTATAACATAAGATACCCAGACCCTATTCTAATTCTTATAAGGCCCCTATGCTATAGAACCCTACAGAAGATGCCTTATACAGCCCTGTTAAATGAGCCCCTTTAAAGGAGCCCTTTAAAGGAACCCTTTGAAAGCAGCTCTTTAAAAGGAACCCCTTTAAAAGGAGCCCTTTAAAAGGAAGCCCTACTCTAATTTTTAAGGCCCCCAGCCCAACGACGTTCCGATCGGGAGGTGCTGTCGTCCGTGCAGGTCGATGTGCCACCCGCCCGAGAAGGAAATTTGGTTGGGTGGGTTTCAGCCTAGGGCTTTCTAGGGCTTTAGGGCCTTTTGGGTTCAGGGCTTAGGGCTTTAGGGTTTAGGGTTAAGGGCTTTAGGGTTTAGGGTTTAGGGCTTTAGGGTTTAGGGCTTTAGGGTTTAGGGTTTGGGGCTTTAGGGCTTTGGGTTCAGGGTTTGCGTTTGGGGGTTACGGTTCGGGGTTTAGGGTTTAGGGCCAGGGCTGGGTTAAGACACAGTATAAGATCCCAATGCCCATGTCCGGTTTTATTAAGTCTGCCATTCTTAAACCCTTTGCTTTCTCAAGCCTCCAAAATCCAATCGTAGAATCTGTATTGTCCACCCGCCCCAGCCCGCAGGAATCCGAGCTTTATTATTCTCAAACCTTGACACTCTGCCGTATAAGCTAAAAGCTGAAACTCTAAACCCTTACCGGCCCCAGGCCCCTATTCTCAACCCCTGAAACGGTCTGCCCTACACCCCAAATCCCAAAGACAAGCCTCTTATGAGCAGAGGGTGGCTCTCATGGAGTTGGTGAACATCGCCTACGAGGACTTGTCGGGAGCTTTTCTGGTTGCCTCGCCTTATGGCAGGGTAGGGTTCGTTGACATCAAAGGTTGCGGTGAGTGTGCACAGACTCGTCAGGCCTTATCCATAGCAGCGAGTGTCTATGGTGACTGTATATCTTCGGGTCTCAACAGCCCCGCAGCTGTCAAGGTCACGGCTTCACCGCTTTTGCTGACAGATGCTGCAGCTGCAGCAGGGGGATGCTGTGACCGGTGCCTCTGAAGCCGAATCCCGGTGAGTGCGGAAAGACACCGAGGATATACGCCAGGATGGAAGCCTTATGAAGGGAAGCCTATGATTCTAATCATTGGGGCCACTGCTATGCTACCCCTGCCTTGCGAGGATGCAGAGAGGAGCGGTGCTTCGATGAATTTCGAGAAGCCACCTGGAGCCAAATCCGTGCTCAAAGACATTTCGGAGTTTCAGAGAGTTTCGGGCTTAAAGCCGGGCTCAGGTTTGTAAGTTATTTTACTACAAGTAAGGGTTTAGGGTTTATTATTGCAATACCTACTGGAATTAAAATATTAAATTGATTATCAACTATATGAACAGGATGTCTGTATGGAGTTTAGGTTTGAATACGGCTCCTTTCAGGTTCGTTGAAGCGCGACCTGAGGGATTTTTCCATCAGCTCTGTTGGAGATTTGGGTCCAGGGCTTTTAAGGGGGGGGTGCGGGGGGGTGGCCAAACGACCAAGGATCTATATACGAGGTTAGGAGATGGTTGGGGGACGTGCCTTGTAGTTTTAAACGTTCCTGATCGCCTCAACCTCCCAACCACTTGAATTCAACGCTGAAGACCCCTCAACGTTAAGCCTTATAAGCCTTGACCTCAAGCCCTGAACCTTGTTCCTTTTGTTCCATAAGCCCTTTGGCCCCCGCCCCCGTCTGCTAAACAACATGTGCCGAAACCCGACCGATTCCTCCAGCTGAGGATCGTGGGGCTTGCCCGCTGCCCAGAGAACAGCTCTCGGAGACTGTTTGTTTACAGATACATATTTGTTTAAGGGTTTCGGTAAGGATAGTATGTCTAGCATCCCACATACCCTAATAATTACCTGTTTCGTCTATTTAAGACCTTATGTTACCCGACAGTATCTTATGCAGCCCCCACGAAGCTCCTACTACATTACTGTAGAGTTTATGGTTCAGGGATTCCGTAAGTTCGCTGCGAAGTCTTGCGGCGTGAAGATTTGAGGATTAAGGTTGTCCTGCATTTGTTTAGCATGAGGCTTTTGGAAGAAAGAGTCAGCACATTTTACGGTGTGTGTCCATGTAGTTGAAGGTTTAACGGGCCATGTTTGTACCCAATTTGTTCCCGTGTTGTTATGCCGCACAAGACGTTTGAAGAGCTAAATATATGCCAACCATACATTGCCTTTGCGTGTACCCCTGCAACTGCAGCGTCCACCTGCCTCAACCAAACAGCAACCTTACACCATAAGATTGAAGACACGCGCTTGCACATGGAGGCTTTGCCATTAGCATCCAAAATGCAAGCAAAACAATAGAACCGGTCTAGCACCAAGACCAACCACGTTACACCTGATAGAACAGCAGCCGTGAGCCTTCAAGCCTTATTGAAAGCCGACACCATTAGGCCCTTAATGCGAATAAACCAAGAATCAAACATATTTCCGCTAAGCCTGAAGCCTTCCTAAACCTTTAGCGTCTATGGTAACCCTTGTATTAGAACCCCTGCGCAAGAGTACCGCGGAACCCAGGCAGTAAGGCGATCGTTCCGTTTGCTCTGATTGTAAGCATGTGAAGAGCCTTTTGACAGGAGCCCCCTTTTAAAGGAACCCTGCTTGTAATTTTGTAATTAGACTCCTCCCGCGGAGCAGGTTAAAAGGAACCTTACCCTAAAGGTCCAAGTACCTATAATTATCATATACTTTCCAAAATAGCAACCTACATAACTACTACCCGAAACCTAAGTACCTAATTATTGGATCCTTTGGACCCTTAGGGAAATCGTCCTCTAAGGCCGACTCAAAGGCCCCAACCCAGAATGCCGGGAGGATCCAAAAAGTGGATCCCTTAAAGGGGTTCCTACAAAGTACCCTTAGTAGTATAGGGCCCCAAATTAGGGGATCTACTTTCTACATCCTCCCGGAATTCTGGGTTGCCGAGCTAGTGCAAGGACCCTTAGGGTTATTCTAATCCTCTGAGGTACTCAACGGCCGGGGGCAGAACACCGCGTGCGTAAAGGATACCTCGGAGCTCTTGAGGTGCGGTATATAAGTATATGGGAGTTTCCGAAAATTAATTGGGGTTACTTTATTTTGGGGGTTCTCAAAAAAGGCTCCCGCTATTTAGGGTACTATATTAGGGTAGAATTGAGGGCCTTGGTTCTGAGGAGTTCCTGGCCGAGGGTTGCATCCTAGCGCCTCAAACAAGCCCTATCAAGCCCGCACGGATCCCCTGTGCAGGAGACGCTAATAACACCCATGAGCCCTCAAAGGCTATACCCTAAACCCTAAACCCTTCCCCTAAAAGCCGGAAATCTTGAACCCGAAGCCTTCAAAGCCAGCAGCTTCCCTTGGCAGGATTTTGAAGCAAATCATCATCCAGAAGACAGGTGGGAAGTTGAGTTCAGTTTGGGATTCAGAGTTTAGGGTTTTGAGGAAAAGTTCCATAACAGGTCGGAGAGTTGGGACCTTATGCTGTAATACTGTAGGGCCTTACAGGTAAGATTAACTCATTTCGGGCTGGGTTTTTCAGGGAGGGCGTGGGTCAGCATGTGTCGTTTGCTGAGAGCGGCCGCTGCGGCACGAATCTTTGCTCTTGTTCCTGATATGATCCCTAAACCCCAAACCTCCAAACCCTAAACCTTAAACCCAAAAGCCCAACCGCAACTACAGCCAAAAAAAGCCGAGCTCAACCCCAACACCCTAAGCCCGATCCCTAAAACTTACAAGGCCCTAGTGGCGACGAAAGACGGCGACCACGGTTTGGGGTGTTTTGGGGGGCAGGGTAGGAAATTTCATAGGGCCTACGGGGTTCGAGGTTTAAGCGGGATTTGTGGTATGAGGTGCACACCAACGCTGCCTGTGAGAACCTGCTCACGATCAAGAAGAGAAGCAACTGTAGGGTTTAGGGTTTAGGGTTTCAACAACCGGTGAAACTCTAAACCATGAGGTCCTAAAGCCCTATGCCCTCAAAGTCTGCGCTGCAAGAAACCTCAAGTCCCAAAGGGTCCTAGCTACTGTTATGGGGAATACTTCCCCAAATTATAATCCCAGAGGGTCCAAGTACCCAAATAGTAGGGTGTTAGGGCCCAAAATCCATACTCTGAATGGTTTTTGGAGCCTGAAACCCTACTATTTGGGTACTTGGACCCTTAGGGAATGGTAATTTCTAATATAGAAACCCTACATTCTACTATATGGGTACTTTGGACCCGTTGTGACTCCAAAGAACCTCGAGTGGCAGGAGAGACGACAGAGAAGCTTCAGGACGAGATCGGTATAGCTAAGACCTCAGCTCTCATCCCCCCAGACCCCTGTTTGGAGGATCTAGAAAGTAGATCCCCTAGTTTGGGGCTTAGTACGGTTCCTTCAAAGGGCAAGGGCTCCTTTAAGGGATCCTTTACGGTTTCGGGTTTAGGGATCTACAAGAGGAAGTAGATTGCCTAATTCGGGGCCCTATACTACTAGGTATACTAAGGGTACTTTATAGGAACCCCCATTTGATCTTCCCGGGGGTCTGGGGTAAATAGGTCCAAGGATATATGGCGCCTGAATGACTACCAAGATTTTGCAGTTTGTGCAGTTCCACGTTTCTACTTGTAGCCTGGTAGAGTCTACCCCGATATTCGCATCAACGAAGAAAAGAATCCCAAGGCCTATTTTAGTTCTTCAGGCCTCTAGAGTAGTCGATACTCCCAACCCCACATAATCAACAACCTGCAGACACCCCAATAACCACACAGCTCAAGGGATGCATCCGAGGAGTCAGATTCGGGTTTAGGGTTTAGCAACAACTTCCTGGTTCTGGCGTGCCATACTTGAATGCTTTTGTTGGACCTGTTCCTTAAAGGAGCCATTACAAAGTTCGAGTGTGTGCTTGTTTCTCGCTGCTTACTTCAGTGTCCAGATCATCACCCCCCCCCAAACCATAGGCCATAAGCCTAAGCATTGGACCCGAAGCCCTAATCCCTGCAGCCAAATCCCCACCTGGACCCGAAATAACCTACCCTTTTCAAAAAGGGCTTAGGCCTTATCTAGAGTGCTCTTAAGGAGTGTTTTTCAATCGGTAAACTCCAAGGGAGTATGAGCCATACATGGATGGTTGTCAAAATTAGGGTTCCTTTTTGGGTCCCTATTATAATACGGCACCTACTTTTTAGGGTACCCAAAAAGGGACCATCATTTTGACAACTACCCACATGTAGGTTTAGGGCATTCAGTCGGGTTGAGGGCTTAGGTTTCCGATCTTCTGGGAATTACGGTCTATTTCTTATTATGGGTAATGCAGGGTTTATATCATCAACAATAGATCTGTTTCTATATCTGCACTCGCAGTCTTGTCCGTTTTGGGTTTTTTTGTATAGAAGTTGGTGTTCGTATGTATGTATACAAGTTTACATAAATTTAGATGTATATACATGCGCATACACACACACACACACCACACACTTTTGTTGTGCTTAGCGGCTAGAGGCAAACCTGCTGGTTAGAGTTCCAAGCCCCAACAGGCCCCTACATGGGAGTTTCTGAAAATTAGGTAGTACCTTAGGGTTCCTTTAAAGGGTTCCTTTAAAGGGTTACCATAAGGGTTCCTTTAAGGGGCTCTATAGGGGTTTCGAGTTTCTGAAAATTAGGGGTACCTTATTTTGGGGTTCTTATAGTAAGGAATTTAGGGTACCATATTCGGGTCCCCCATTTTCGGAAACCCCCACATCCCAAAACCCTAAATGCTTAATCCTAAGCCCTAAAGCCTAAACCCTGAACCCTAAAGCCTGTAAACCCTAAGCCCTGACCCGAAGGCGTCTGAAGCTTAACTAGGTAGGGCTTTGGGGCATTTTCTATTTTCCCTTATTGGGATTAAGAGGATCTTATTTACTAATATTTTTCAAGGGCTTTAAAAACCCCACCTAGTTAAAGGCTTTCACCACACCCCAAACAGCTTTTAAAGGTCAGGGTTTTAGATTTTGGGCAACATCGCACCGTGATGAAGACGTCTGTGTATTGCCAGCCTTCCATAGAAAGGGCTGGAATCGGGATAGTACCATCACGGCACCGACAGATTATTGCAACGGGTCCTCCGAGCCCTGACCCGAAACACCTTCCCAGGTCCATCGAAGCCTGCAAAGCATGCGAGAGGAGCAATTTGAGAATCAGGCCGGCCGAACAGAGCTCGGAGTAAGAGTAAAGATATTTGCAACAAGATAGATGCTAGCATGAATCAAAGGAACAACAAACTATCACTACCAATGAAAACATAGTAAGTTGTAAAAGACAGTCATAGTAGTCACAATGATGATAACAAGATAGCACAGACTCAGCAATAGTAGCATTAAGACGACAACCTAATAACAAACGTACTGGTACTGATAGTACGAAGAGGAACCGTAACCCTAATAATAACACCACGAAAGCGACAAATTGAATTGACATAGGTCGAAATACATACTCAATGTGTCTATATATAATAGATAGTCAGATCGATAGATAAATAGATAGATCGATAGGTAGACGTGGCCTTACAGAGGTGGGGTTTGAGATTTGCGGTATGGGTCAGGCTGAATGTTATTTGGAATACTATAACCTACAACATTAAAGTTAAAACAAGAGATCTAAGGAACAGTATTGGTAATTTTTCAAGCTTCCATATTAGGTATTGGGGTTGGTGTTGGTGTAGTCTCCAAAGCATAGACCCTAAAAGCCTAAATCGTAAACCCTACACCCCGTCCTTTTGAGCCTTCAGCCAAAATCTACAGCCCAAGACCTTGGTAGGCTTTTAGGGACGACAGCGAGCCCAACGCGCTTAAACCGTAGTTGTTGGTTCAGGGTTTAGGGCCTGTTGCGCTGCGAACTTTTCACTAAGCCATACTTTACAGTATACCCCAAAACCTTATTCTGATTGTTCAGGCCCTTATTTCATGTGTTTAGGTATCACTAAGCCGGTTGTTCGGGAATGGGTCCTGTGACAGGCACTCTATAGGGGCTTAAATAATTTCCAATACTGTTTTGGGGGTTCCTCATTATATTCCGCACTATGTTTATAAATCATTGTCTAATGGGCCCCAAAGCCCTCTTCTAATTATTAAGGCCCCTCTATTCTTGTAGGATGCTGCAGCACGTAACGCCCTGTCTGACACCATGAGGTCTGCATGCTGCTGCATGATTGCAGCTCAATACGCATGCATTCCTTCAATATGCCACCTCGCTGAAAAGCAGCGTTCTATCATGGTACAACACCACTTGTAGCACGACAGGCCGCAAAATCCCATTATTTTGATCTCCGCCCTTGCGTGACAACCGAATCCCCACCACACGTTGCGTCGTGCCAGGGTTTATGTAGCTCGTATACTCCAATGCTAAGTTGCCTGCAACATTCCAAGTGGTACTGTGATAGGAGATATTTCCGATTCCTACAATCTCTAAACTACATTCTAGTATGTAACTACTTAGGACCCTTAATGATATATAAGCCTTACATCCTGCTATATAACTACTTAGGACCCTTCGGGAATTGTGCAACTTCCTAAAACTTTATCTAGGAACCCTACATTCTACTATATAACTACTTATCGGAACCCTTCGAACTTTGGAAATCGTGTGACTCTGATGCTTGGCCTCGGCGCAGGGGGGATGGCAAAGCCCACGTGCGGGCAGCCAGGACCTGCCTTGTGTGAGCCGATCACCACAGGGCACTCGGGGCCTAAATAATTAGGGTTCCTACTATAAAGGTTCCTTTCAAGGGTGTATAGTATAGGGTTTGGGGTTCAGAGGCCTTAGTAAATACCCGTAGTGTTTTTTTGGGGGGGTTCCTCATTATAATTAAAGTAGTGGGCCCCAAAAGCCTATTCTAATTATCAAGGCCCCCTCTATTATTAGGGCACTTGGGCAAATTGGACGGCTTCCGGTTTCGAGCTTTGCAGGTGTTTATGTCTTGTTGTTGTCATGAGACATTTCAGAGGTTGACCTCCAGGTGACTTGTCCCGGGTCCGGGCTCCGTTGCTTGTTGAAACTTCCAGTGATAATTCGTGGACTAGACTGCACTACAAATACGGACATCCAACGAAAACTGAAATACCAGAAAGATGCTACTGCGGCCGCTGCCTAGGAACAAGACTGACAGTCGTAGGGAGACCAGTCGCATCAGCAAACATGATGAGCGGCGATCAAGGAGCAGCAACAAAGCACATCTTCGCTCGAAGCAATGATGCTGGTATTAGATAATGGTTCCAATAGCAAAGTGACAACAAGAGCCAAGCTAATGAGGCTCATCGTCACAATACCTAACACGCCGGAATAATGATCTTCGTCAGCAACACTGCGGTGCATCGACGAATGACTGCATGACAAGAAAAGTAAGCAACTCCAACAAAAGAACTCCACAGGTCACCAGGCTGCTTCATCCTCATAAGTTTGCGGCAACACTGGAGGAATCGTTTGCACATGCCTGGCCCATCCCATGACGCCCAGACGAATGAAGGCAACTCAAGACAAATACGAAGACGATCACACTATTCACCACCCTCAGCTATACCTTTGGAAAGCTTCTTCGAACCCGAAGTCATCAGCCTCTGTTTTCTCCAGGGCTTTGACGATGACGCTGCAGCGTCCAGCCGGTCGCCAAGCCCCACGAACAAGAAGCTGCGGACAGGCCAGCTCCTTGTGTGATTTGGAGTGTTCACGGGTTTGGGATTTGGGTTTTCCGAAAACAGGGAACCCTAATAAAGTGCCCTAAAGAGTAACGTAGGATCCTTGTAATAAGGACCCCAAAATAAGGTACCCCCAATGTTAGGAAACTCTCGTCTAGGTTTAGGGTTTACTTATATACCAGGGCATAGGGTTGGTTTAGGGTTCCGGGCCATGTGTGATTATTCAGGATGTAAGGTTTGAGGTTGTAGGGTCAGGTTTAAGCTGCATGGGCCAAGAAGTTATATTTCGATACCTACCGAGGTAGGTCATAATAACCAGCCTTGAACCCTGGTACAACCCAGAGAGGCCATGAAAGCTGCAAAGAAGCTTATGAGACCCTAGACCCTAAATTAATAAGCCCTATATTCCCTAAACCCTAAACCCTAAATTAATAAACCCTATATTCCCTAAACCCTAAACCCAACACCCTAATAAACCCTATATTCCCTAAACCCTAAACCCAACACCCTAATAAACCCTATTTTCCCTAAACCCTAAACCCAACACCCTAATAAACCCTATTTTCCCTAAACCCTAAACCCAAGAAGAAACCTTCTAAGATCTTGTTAAGGCCTTGAGTCGAAACTTGCGCAGCCCAGATGTGGTATTTCTGTAAATTACTTAGAGGCCGTAAGGGGACTTAGTAAGGGTTCTTTTTTAGGGCTCCTTAAAGGGATCTATGGGGTTTCGGGTTCAGGGTCTACTTGGAGGCCCAGGGGACTTAGGAAGGGTTCTTAAAGGGCTCCTTAAAGGGATCTATGGGGTTTAGGGTTCAGGGTCTACTTGGAGGCCCAGGGGACTTAGTTTGGGGTTCCATGTAAGGGTACTATAAGGTTCTATAATAGGGTCCCTTTCAGGATACTATAGGGTTCTAAGGGTCTTACTTGGAGGCCCAGAGGACTTAGTAAGTAGGCTATAAGTAGGGTTGTAGTTGGGGTACCTTCATTTAGGGTACCTTCATTTAGGATACTTATAACCCTACTTATAACCTACTTACTAAGTCGCCTGGGCCTCTAAGTATGGGTGTCGCAGAACCCATAGAAAGCACCTTGCAGAACCTTTGGAGGAGACCTACCATCGCTTGTTTTGGTCTGGGTAATTCTCTAGTATGTTGTCGGGTTCCTTTGTCGATCCCCCCGAAAAAATGCGGGGCCCTCATAAAAATGGAACCGAAAAGGGACCCTAATTTGGAGAACTGCCCATGTTCCTATATGGGAGTTTCCGAAAATAGGGGAGCCTAATATGGTACCCTAAATAGTAGGATCCTTATTAGGTACCCCTAATTTTCGGAAACTCCCATATGCCTAGCTTTTGCAGGTCGCACCTCGCAGCAGCTGGAGAAGGAGACAGTGGGTTGGGGTGGAGGGAGGGCGGGGGGTTTAGAGTTAGGTGTTTAGGGGTTTAGGGTTTATATATTAGTGTTTAGGGGTTTAGGGTTTATATAGGGTTTAGGGTTTAGGGTGGGTTTGGTGATTTGGGGTTCTGGCGCTTCATGTTGAGCCATATACTACAGTAGAGTTACGTAGAGGCCCAGGGGACTTAGTAAATAGGTTATAAGTAGGGTTATAAGTACCCTAAATAGAGCTACCCCATTTATAGCCCTACTTATAATAACCTACTTACTAAGTCCCCTGGGCCTCCAAGTATGCTCTCGGGAACTTGCAGACTTTTGAGGTCAGCCTTTAGGCAAGTGAGCCGCTGAGGAGCGCAGGAGGTTCCGAAGCTTTACAGCTGCCGTGTCTGCGGAACAAAGCCACTCTTCCGAACACGACAGCAGCAGTGACCCTAAACCCCGAGCCTTAAACCTGAGCCCTACACTCTACACCCGAAGCAAACCTAGCCCTAAACCCCAAACCTTAGGCCCTAAATCCTACAGCCCAGCACGGATGGTCCTGTGGAAGCCAGCCGAGCTCCAGAGCCGCAATCCGGTTTAAGGTGTAGGGTTTACGGGCTTTCGGGTTTAAGGTTTTAAAGGGCTTAGGGTTTAGGGTTTAGGGGGTTTTCGTGGTTTAAGGGTATAGAGTGTAGGGTTTCTGGGGTTTAATTATTATGCTTCGATGATCAGGGAGCCGTTTGATTTCTTTAGTGTATTGGGGTCAGGGCTTGCGGTTGAAGGTTTATTTAAGTGTTTGGGAGTTTAGGGTAACTCCAAAGCCTGAGGATACCTATAGTCTCCATTGCATTTCCTTTTTGTGGTTTTACCAATTTTATGGTAAGGATCCTATAAGGTAACCTGAAAAAGGAACTACAATGGAGACTATAGGTAGTATGCTTGTTTCATTGCTGCTTTTATTACACACTCCATGCATTGTATGCACTGAGTAGCGCCTACAGCTCGAGAGAAACTGAGAAGCCAAAGAGTCTCAATCTGTAACCCCAAACCCTAAAAGGAAAGGGTTTAGGGTTTAGGGTTTAGGGTTTAGGGAATAGTAGGTTTAGGGCTAAGCCCCTAAAACGGTAGGTTTGGGAATCCTCAACGCAAGGCACTGGATGATTTTACTGCCCCTGCAAGCAACATCTATACTACAAAAGCCATATCGTAACTGTATAAGAACGATAACAGAACTATATTCTAGCTATTTGACCGGCCCAAGATGCTGAACACTGTACCCTAACGCACCCTACTAAACCCGGAATTTACAACTCAAGCACCCTCAGCCCTACGCCTACACACTAAACCTCAACCAAGCCCCAAAGCCTAAGCCCTTCCTTGAGGGACGCCTATATATAATCCCCAAGAATAGTCTCCATAATCCATTCCCCCATTCCCTCCTAAGAGCCAGACAGATGAGGAGCAGGAAGGAACCTCATCACGTGGGCGTTCGAGTCAAGGCCTCAGGCAAACTGGGGCACTGAAAGCTCGAGGGTCTTTGGTCTGGGGTTGACCTTAACCCTGAATCACCTGCCTTTTTAGGGTTCCTTATTATACAGTAGAAGCCAGAAAGTTGGAACATCATTAGCCTCATTCCCTCAGAGCAAACTTTAGGGAATCCCAGCATGAATCATCCTAAATCTATGTTCCAACTCTCTGGGGTTCACTATATGATTTCCTGGTTTACGACCTTAAAAAGGTAGGTTATTCCGACTCTAGGGTCGAGGGTCTTCTAAGCTTTTGTACATGCGGGATTTTTGTTAAGTTTTCTGATGGATGTTACAATGTTTCTGTTTATGGGCTTGTTTAAGCGAGTGTACGGTTTACTGAGATATTGAAAAAGTTTATGAGTTTTAGGCTTAAGGGTTATGGTGTATATTGACATGCAGAGTTTTTTTGGGCTGAAGGGGCTTCGGTTCGTCGTGCATGGAAGGATTTGCCAGGTCATGCGAGGGTTTGTCGAGGTTTCTATGTGTTTACGCAGGTTTGTGCGTTCCATAGATTTGAACCGGGTGTATTGGAAGCAAGTGTTTCTAGGGATGTACAGGTGTTTATCGAGATTTGAAGGATGCATGCATGATCTAGACGAGTCCTAGCGATACGCAAAATAAACGTAAATATCGATCGGTTGGATCATGAACTAGGGAGCTCAATATAATCGGGGTTTGGGCGTATATTGATATTGAAGAGCCCGAAGGAATATTACCGGTGAGGGCTTTCTTCCAGGAGACACATGCCGCCACATGCCTGCTGGCTTCGTTTGCTTCAGGTCAAGATCAGTGATGCTTGTACTTTGCTCCCAAGCAGTAAGGTGCTCAATGTTTACTCGGCCGTGCCAGAAAAGTTGGCAGAAGCCATGCTAGCACCCAGGATTTGGTTTTAGGAGCTGGCATTGCCAGCCGCTAGAATTCGGAAGCAAAGCATGCGAAAGCGAGCTGGTGTGGGTCCCAAAGAAGCACGAAACACGACAATCCGACCTTTGAGGTAGAAAGGTGCCTGTTTGAGTGACTCCAGACACCTTTACATAATATGTATATATATATATATATATATATATATAGTATATAATATACCACATGTGCTATATAGTTAAGTTAAGTTATATATGTATATACATATATTGTAATACCCCTGTCTCGGAAGGGTCTTGCGTTACTGTGATCCTTTGGGGCCCGGTCGTTCTGGGCCGACCTGAATTGCTGTCGAGTTTGACCCGACCAGCAACAGAGCAAGTGGTCAGCGCTCAGGGAGAATTTCCCTAGGGCTCCAGTTAGGGTTTAGGGGTATTTAGGGGGTCGGGTTGAGCGTTTTAGGGTTGAGGGGTTTGGGAGTTTAGGGTTCAGGGTAATTTACTATCCATAGGTTGTCTATCCTAGTAACCCTGAGGGTCCATGCACTCATATAGTATATACGTTGGCCTTCATGTAGTCCCTATATAGGTACTTGGGGCCCATGTATCTCTATATGGGTACATGGACCCTTAGGGTAAGCTACGTATACCAGCCTATGTCTTGGAGAACTGAAGCCCGTCAAGTTCATCGTCTCAGTGGCCAGAGACGGCTACCGATTGGCACCTTGCGAGGGAAACAAAAGAGCAGGGCTTGTCGCAAGAAGGGGACCGAGAAGAACGATCCCCGTAAAGGATCCCCTAAAGGAACCCTTGAAGGATCCCTTACAGGATATCTTGATAGCTGGGTGCTATTCTAGATCCAACACTTCCTTAACTGAAACGAGCCATAATGAAACGCCTCGGTGTTTGTTCAGATCTTGGGTGTAGGATCGCCGCAGTGACGAAATTCCCCCTCAGCATGTGTTGTGAGTGTGGAGCAAATCCGTCCAGACACCAGGCATGCCGTTCAGTCATTGCTACAGTATCGAAGGGTCCATGTACCCAATACCCAACTGGCACATATACTTTGGCATTAACGCAGTCCCTATACTGGTGCTTTGGGACCAATGTAAATCCTATTTGGGTAAATGGACTCTTAGGGGTATCTACCCAAACCGTATAAACCTGGATACTGCAAGTACTAAACCCTAGCCCTCGAATCCCAAACCTTATATACCAAAGTACACAAAACCTTACCCTAAGGGTCCTTGTACTCATATAGTATATGCATTGGCCTTAATGTAGTCCCTATAATACTTTGGGGCCCATGTATCTCTATATGGGTACATGGAGACTTCGGGTTAGTTACAAGAAGCACTAGAGCCCAAAGCCTAAAAGCCTTGATCCGATTCCCCAAACCCTATCAGAACCCCCCAAGGGCCCTTTGATAGAGTCCTTATGGCTCTTAGTAGTGGACGTTTGGGGTGTATCAGAGGGTAGTTGGGGAGGCCCAAGTAGAGCCCTACTTAGAGGCCCAGGGGACTTACTTGTAGCAAGTAGGTTATAAGTAGGGTTATAAGTACCCTAAATGGAGTTACCCCAATTATGACCCTACTTATAACCTACTTACTAAGTCCCCTGGGCCTCCAAGTAACCTTTTCCAAACCCCCAAACCCCAACGTGCCTGGACAGGCCCTGTCAGTTCCAAAAGGCCCGAAAGCGCGTCTCCTCTGCCAAGTCCCTAAACCCACATAGCCCTAAACCCTATATAAGCCCTAAACCCCAACTCTCAACCCTAAACCCTAAACCCCAACTCTCAACCCTATACAACCCTATACCCTAAACCCCAACTATCAATCCTAGAGCCTTCAAATCCTTTCTGCGCTGACGGGCAGGGCAACTTCTCCTGCACATTTACCGAAGCATTGAAAGGAAAGGCTGGGCAACTGTGGGCGTAGTAGTTTCGTTTAAGGGTTTACATTTGGGAGTTTGGATTCTATAGGGTTTGGGTGCAGGGTGTGAGCGTAGGGGTTTAGGGTTTAAGTATTGGCGTTTAAGGCGGTATGCTTGAACTAGTTTAGATTCAGGCCTTTGGGTTTTATTGCGTTGTGGGTACAGGGATTAGGACGTTGCTTCGTGAACCCTGAGCCGCGGTTGCTCGGGGTTTTAGGGCCTCAGGGTTTGATTCGGGCCGTAGGTTGAAGGGCCTAATGTGCTGCAGGTCGACGCCGTGCTGCTATCCACCTCTACGCAGGACTTCAACGTGGCTTTTGCTCCTCCTAAATTCCTAAACCTTAAACCCGAAACCAAAGCTCCTGCAACTTGACGAGAGATTCCGTGGTCATTGCCAATTAATCAAAGGACTTGCGCGAAGGCCTCTAATGGCTCGCGGATCTCGTGTCTATGGGAATATGAACAACAATGGAGAAGAATCGGAAGAGCAGCAACAAGTATGCAATAGCAGTGTAGAACCCTAAGGGTCCATGTACCCATATAGAGATACATGGGCCTCAAAGTACCTACATAGGGACTACATGAAGGCCAATGTATATACTATATGAGTACATGGACAGTTCCCATACAGTCCCGAACCCCAGAAAGACGTGCCGTATATGCAGCTCCGTGATCCTCTAACGTATATGAGCCGGAAACAACGACATGACAATTCCCCAGCCGCCTAAACCCTGAAGCCATTTGGGAGTTTCCGAAAAGAGGGGACCCTAATATAGCACCCTAAACAGTAGGATCCTTATTATGTATGAAAGCTCTATAAGTGTCATGCAAAGTGCGTGATTCTTAGCCCTAATATTTCTTATTTATGTAGGCGAAGCTTGCGTCTATTGAAAGCTAAATGTCACCCACGAACAGTCTTGGACCCTAGAATCATACAAGACCCGGTAGTTAGGTACCCGAAAAGCACATAAGCATAAGCATTTTATAAGGATATCCCTACCATATTGGGCTTCATTATAAGGGGGTTTATATGGGACACCTATCCTAAGTTTTGCTTATGTGCTTTTTTGGGGCCCTCGGTAGAAGCCAATCCAGGCGGTTGCTCACGTCCTCGAAAAGCTTCCAAGCAAGCCATGGGCAGAATCCATGCGGGTTCATGGTTTAGGATTTGGGGTTTAGGGTTTAGGGTGTTGATGGTATTAATCCTGCATTATGGTAAGGACCCTGGACTATGGGAATTATGGTATATTCCTTATTATGGGTAGTGCAGGATTTGTATCATCAACCGTAGTATTCCTTCTTAACTGTTATAGTAGCTATAGTAGTTCGTACAGGACGATACACCTCCAAACCCTATTTCAATTAATTATTAAGGCCGCAATGATCGACTTTTCCAGACCGCGAAAAACCCTGGATGGACTTCAGAGAAAACCTGTTGAGGCTTCAGCATTGTGCTCTTCAATCACCCCATAAAACCTCACGTGACCTCCATAGAATCCTTAGGTCTCTGTACATAAGCTTCTGAGGTATGTACACACACATATACATATATGTATATATGTAGAGAGAGCAGTATAACTTATACATATATGTATGTACATAATTATATATATATAGACATACATACATGCATGCAGACATACGTACATACACATAGCCGTTAAAGCCTAAACTCAACAAGGCTTGAACCCTAAACCCTAGACGCTACACCGCAAGTCTTCGACCGAACTACTGTTAAATCCTGCAGAGACATCAGAGGCCGAGTATACACATATACATATATATATATATGTATACACACACACATGCATGCATACTTATGTGTGTATATATATATATATATACATATATACATACACACACACACACACTGCTGTTATGAAGTTGGGTCCCCAAAAACCATGCCGAGGATGGTCTTTGGGGACCTGATTAATTCAAAAATGGTCGTATCTTTGGACCCTCATGGGCGCTGGCCAGGACTCGGGATGGCTCTTGTGTGAGGCCGGAAGCGCTCGGTTCCTTTAAGGGTTACTATAAGGGTTACGATAGGGGTTCCTTTAAGGGTTCCTTTAAGGGTTGCTAGGACCTCCTGCATTTTGGGGCTTGGGTTCTGGGTTTGGAGCTCATGTAGGGATTGGGATTAAGGGTAATTAAATGGTGGGGTGCAGCAAGACAAGAAGTCGCACGATAAGAACACAAGCATGCACCAGCATTAGTATACTCATGGGATAAAGTCGATAGAGAAGCGGTCAGCATCAACATTACACACATCGAAGCATATAGAAGTGGAAGTATCTACGTCTATGATTATGAGGGGAGAGAGACACAACAGAAAGCCTGAAGGAAATTTAATTCCGAAAACACCTAACCCCCCCCCCCCCCCCCCCCCCCCATGCCCCTCCCCTTTCCCAAGTAAGCTCAAAGCCTTAAACCTTAAGCATCGAACAACGAAAGAAACCTACCTACCGGTCATCCACAAATGCACCAAAATCCTAACCCTTCTGGAGCGCCTAAAGGGACCCTTATAGATCCCTTAAGGGGACGCTTGTAGATTGTAGATCCATTATCGGATTCCGTATTCTCCGAACAGAGGCCTTGGACGAGTCGAAGATGGTCGTCAGGGTGGGAGACTCAGCGGGCTTTTTCGGGGTCAAGTAAGGGCTTGAGGGTTTAGGGTATTAGGGCTTTAGGGTTTTAGTTTTAGGGTTTATATGGGACTACTCCTAAGGGTCCATGTATTCCGATAGTAGACACATCACAGGTACTTGGGGGCCAATGTTTCTACTAGTTGGGTACATGGACCCTTAGGGCTATAGGGTCTAGATAGTTACTAGGCGTGTGTTTGGGTCCTGGGTGTCCCAGACCCCCCGGGAGGACCCAAAAAGTAGATCCCTTAATGGGGGGTTCTTATAAAGTACCCTTAGTAGTATAGGGCCCCATATTAGGGGATCTAGTTTCTAGATTTTCCCGAAGATCCAAGGTCTTATGCAGGGCTTACAAA